TCAATTTTCTCCCCCTATGGCATCTCTGCCCTGATGTGAATAACCATACATTCAGGCCAGTGTCTCAGAGGTGCGGGGGCGGGAGGACTGTCCTAAGAAGAGGCTTGTGGTTTGCCGAGGCCAGACTCCCTGATGGACTGTCAGGGAGCAGTGGAGGCCAGGAAGGGGTCAAGGGCCGCAGGCAGGGCTCAGCCTCTGGCCCAGAGGAGGGAGGTCAGTGTGAGGTCCGTGTGGGTGGGCGGTCAGAGGCGGGGTCCTGGAGGAGCAGAAGGGGACTCTGCGGTCACGCAGGGCAGGGGACGTGTTCGGGAACGTCTGAGCCAGGGAGTGGTGGCAGGCGCACATGGGGGCTGGAAGGAAAGGGGGAGGATGTGGGTAGCAGTGGGGTCCGTGTGGTCCCAGCTGGCACAGGGAGGTCTGCCCCAGGCAGTGACACTGGGCATGGAGACCGTGATGTTTGGTGGGGGTCGGACTTGTGGCCGGTGTCGGAGGAAAGGATGTCAGGGGGAGCCAGTTTGAAAAGGAGACCTCACAGTTTGCTACTGCTGATCCTTGGAAGCCAGCAGTACTGAAGGAGAGATGTACCCACTAACCAGAAGCCGAAGGACTTGGGACAGGGCGGAGTAGGGGTCCCTGGAGTTTGCGTGACGCTGATAGGAGACTGGCCCCGGGAGAGGGTCCGCTGGAGGAAGCTGCCAGTGCCAGGGGAGAAGCTGTCCTGGGCAGGGGCAGAGTGTCCTGTGGTCTTCGGGTCAAATCAGGTCCATGCGCCCCGCATGTTGGAACAAGAGCGGTCCCCTGGCCCTCCCCAGCCAGAGCTTGGTCCTCCCCAGAAAGCTGGGAACTTGACCCAGGCCTGAAGGGTATGGCTGGGCCTGAGCCTGGAGCGTCCTCAGACCACCCCAGACACCTCATTACCCTGCATTGCCCTGGCGTCACCAGAACCCTTGCAGCCAGGGCTCAGCCAGCCTCAGCCACAGCAGGGTGTGGCCTCGGGCTGCTGCAGGAGGGACGGCCTGAGCCAGGTGCAGGAACGGGGGAGAGAAAGGATCCTGCCCGCCTACCAGGAGCTGCCTGCGGGGCCAGAGGACACCTTTGCCGGTTCTACTTTGGGACCTCAGCTGCCTGGCTGCTGGGGAGTGGGGAACTTCCTCTGGAGTCTGGGTTCAGCAACCACTCACCCCCAAGGGTTTGGGTGCTCTGCGGGGGGCCAGCTGGCACAAGACCCTTCTTAAGACCCAGGGCCCCACCATCAGGCCTCTTTATTAATGTATCAGGTAATAAGATCTAGCATGGGTCTGATGAGCATTGTAATTTTGAAGTATTGATGGGCATTGAAGATATTCTGATACCTGCCGCACCTGTAATGGGGCAGGGAGGAAGCGCAGTGTCTGTTGGCCATGGGGACCGCTAACCCTTCTATGTCGCCACCTACATTCTTTATGGAAGGAAATGCTACGAGGCTCAGTTTCCCCTCGAATTCTTTCCCCGTCTCCCCCGCCCAGCAGCCTGTTAGGAGCCCTGAAGTGCACAGACAAGCAAAGCTAACCTGTGCAGTCAGCCGTGGGAGAGTGGTTACCCTGGTGAGGGAAGGCAGTTAGTGCCGGGAGGGGAACCCCAGTCTGAGAGGCTGGGAGCAGCTTAGGTCTTGACCTGGGTGCTAGTTACCAGGTGTGTTCAGTTTATGGAAATCCACCCACCTGTACACTTAGGATCCGTACACCAATCTGCATGAATAGTTGATTTCAGTACAAATTTTAAAAACACCTTTACTGCCCTGGCTGTGTGGCTCAGTTGGTTGGGGTGTCGTCCTGTACACCAAAAAGGTTGTAGGTTCAATTCCCAGTCAGGGCACACGCCTAGGTTGCGAGTCTGATACCCGGTCTGGGCATGTATGGGAGGTAACTGGTCGATGTCTCTAACATTGATTTTCTTTCTCTCGCTCTCTCAAAAAATCAATTAAAAAACATATCCTCAGGTGAGTATTAAAAAAAAACAAAAACAACACCTAGCCCTGGCCAGCTTGGCTCAGTGGTTAGAGCGTCGGCCCTTGGACCAAAGAGTCGCGGGTTCCATTCCGGTCAAGGGCACGTACCTCAGTTGCAGGAGCCAACCAGTGGATGTGTCTCTCTCACATCGATGTTTCTCTCTCTTTCTTTCTCTCTGTCCCTCACACTCTATATGAAGATAAGTGAAAAAATATCTTCAGGTGAGGATTTAAAAAATGTTTCTAAATAAATAAAACAGCTTTACTAGAATAGACATATGTGCTGGTGTGAGCTCGCGTGCACACACACACACACACACACAGGTGAGGACCGGTGAGCCTCTGCAGGGCCGTGGTATACACACACACACACACACACACACAGGTGAGAATCGGTGAGCCTCTACAGGTCCATGGTGTACACACACACACACACAGGTGAGGACCGGTGAGCCTCTGCAGGGCCGTGGTGTACACACACACACACACACACACACACTGGTGACCGGTGAGCCTCTGCAGGTCCATGGTGTACACACACACACACACACACACACAGGTGAGGACCGGTGAGCCTCTACAGGTCCATGGTGTACACACACACACATACACACACACAGGTGAGGACCGGTGAGCCTCTACAGGTCCATGGTGTACACACACATACACACACACACACACACAGGTGAGGACCGGTGAGCCTCTACAGGTCCATGGTGTACACACACACACACACACACACACAGGTGAGGACCGGTGAGCCTCTGCAGGGCCGTGGTATACACACACACACACAGGTGAGGACCGGTGAGCCTCTGCAGGGCCGTGGTATACACACACACACACAGGTGAGAACCGGTGAGCCTCTGCAGGTCCGTGGTGTACACACACACACACACACACAGGTGAGGACCGGTGAGCCTCTGCAGGGCCGTGGTATACACACACACACACAGGTGAGGACCGGTGAGCCTCTGCAGGTCCATGGTGTATACACACACACACACACACACACACACACACACAGGTGAGGACCGGAGAGCCTCTGCAGGTCCGTGGTGTACGAGTCTCTCCGTTACTGTTCCAGGCGTGTGGACACAGGTGGACACAGTGGGACAGAGGCAGAGACACTGTTTTTAGGAAATACTTCCAAGCAAACAGGAGGTTTCTGATTTCCAGGTCTAGTGAGTGCTCATGACGGAGAGGATTGCCCCGCATCCAGGTGCGCTTTCAAAAAATAATAAAATAAAAAGAATAATGATTTTATTGTTTTTGTAAAAACAATCCGCGATCCTCATAAATAATTCAAGCACTGAGGAAAGTACAAAGAAGGAGGTGTAAAAGTACCCGCATCTCCACAAGCGAAGGGGAACAGTCCCCAGTCCCATCTGGCGCAGAGCAGCGCGCTCGCCCCCTTCAGAGACGGAGGGTAGACAGAGACATGCCTTCACAGAGGCAAACCTACTCCCTCGCCTGCTGTTTGCAACAAAGGTGTTTCTTTAACTTCCCTTGAATGAAGCGGAAGAACAAGAGACTAAAGGATAGGGTGGCTCTCAAAGCCTGGGACCTCAAGGTCCTCCTCGACCTGCCCTGGCACGTGCCAGGCGGCGCTTCCCCCGGGGCCAGAGGTGCCCTGGCGAGGCTGGCTTGCCTGTGTTGTGTTTGCTCGCTGTTTACCTGCCATCTGGCCAGGTGCCTAGTTTACAGCCACCCACAGTGCTTGGGGCTGCGCTCCTGGAGGGCTCGGCAGGGCAGCAGCTCCCTGGGCTCGTGGGTGGCATGTTCCGCAGGAGTAAGACCAAGCAGAGTTGGCCCTTGGTTGACGGAAAGGGATTCTGTCCTGGCAGAGATCTCCAACAGGTGTCCACCCTGCCCTCTTGAGCTGGTGCCTGGCCATTCCCGGGTTTGATGTAATTAACGACACCGCTTCCCGGTGTCCTCGTCAGGGGCTGTGCCGGCCACATCCTGTTTGGTGGGACAGTCGGGAGCGCATTCTTGGGCCGCTGTGTCATGGGCATGTTCACGCCGGGTCCTGGATCATCTGAGGCCACCAGGGCCACATTCCCCGGTTAGGCGTCACACACGTGTGCCGGCTGGACGACCTGGTGGATGAGTGGTCACCGTTCTCCGGTTCTGCTGTCGCTTGGAATCAGTCCTTCTTTGTTCAGACTGGGAGGAGGGGACGAGTGGAGGCCTGAGGTTCGGAGATGCTCCTCCAGCGTTTCCGTCTGTGCGAGGATGCCTCACCCTGGGGATTTCATTGAGACCCTCGCAGCAGGAATCCCAGGCAGCTGTGTACACCAGGTGCCAGCATCTGGATGGCAGCTCCAGCTGCTTCCAGAGGCCACAGGATTCGCCTGGGTCTCCAGGCAGATATGGAGCCCCTGTCTATGTCCGGGTGTTAGCACCGCCAGGCCCCACCTGGAGTCTGGGGCCCCTCCCCCAGGCAGGCCCATGGCACGTGGGGAGAACAGTGTCCCCCACCCTGCGATCCTAACACACTGGCTGGGGGTCTGCCTGGAAAAGAAGCCCAGAGGTGGGCTTTGGCCCAGGCGGCATCTGATCACCCTCCTAGGCCCCAAGGTTGCCTTTAGAAGGGACAGACTTGGGAGGAGGGCTGCACGGGGTACCTTTTAATGCCCCTGCCCCTCACCTGTTCGTTTGTTCGGGACCAGCCTTGCCATGGGGTGTCTCTCTCAGCCCACAGTGTGTCACAAAGTTGTGCAAGTGTCTCAAAGTGGGTTTCTCTGTGCTGAGTGGAGCAGAAAGAAGAGGCTTTGGTGACACCATCGCTCTTGCCACTTGCATTCAGGCTCGCTCATCGGATGGGAAAGGACCCCTGCGGGTGCCCTGCACACCCCACAGCCTGGAGGGCACCCACCCGGTGTGCCTGCAGAGTTGGGGACCTGGGGTGTGGGGGCATCTTTGCAGACCATGCCCTTCCCTAGCAGGTCTGGCCACCCTGCGCTCTGGCCCTGGGCGTGGGGTCAGGCCTGGTGTCTGTGTCTTCCAGCTTCCCCACAGGCAGCGTGGGGACAGCCCGGGCCCCAGAAGCAGGATGAGAAGATGGCAGACTTCCTGTTCCCTCCGGGCACCAGCAGCTTCCGCAGGTTCACCCAGGAGTCCCTGGCGGCCATCGAGAAGCGCCTGGCGGAGAAGCAGGCCCGAGGCTCGGCCGCCTTGCCGGAGAGCCGGGACGGGCTGCCCGAGGAGGAGGCCCTCCGGCCCCAGCTGGACCTGCAGGCCTCCAAAAAGCTTCCAGATCTCTATGGCAACCCGCCCCGAGAGCTCCTCGGGGAGCCCCTGGAGGACTTGGACCCCTTCTATAGCACCCAAAAGGTGACTGCCACCCAACCCCTGCCCACGCTTCCACACAGCTGGCCTGTGGGCGCAGCGGTTGGGGGAGGGCCTTGCACCACCTTGGGCTCTGTTTGGGGTGGGCTTCTCTGGGCTTTGGAGGCGTGAGTCATTGGTGATCTATATTCCAATCGCCTTTATTTTGGAGTTCCGGAATAACAGGCTAGAAATATGCGGCCGAGGTTGTTCGGTGCTTTGAAGGAAGAGAGCAGCCACCATGACCATTTTGCCTCATTCTGGAGAACCTGCTTTGGGAATTGTCTGGGTTAGATCTCACCTTAGGAGCCCTGCACCCTGGCCCCATGGTGTGTGTGACCTGGAAGCAGGCCCTGAGTCCTGTCCTGAGTTGAGTGTGAGCCCGGGCACAGCATATGATCCCCTCTCCTAACGAGGGACAGCGGACAGCCTCACAGCCCGCTCAGAGAACTTGGGCCTTGGCGGGGTCAGGGGAGCCCCGACGAGGCCTCAGCAGCAGCGCCCTGGGCCTTAGGGCTGGTAGTGGGACCAAGACGGCCTGTGGGGATGTGAGGGGTGAGGAGGGCTTGTTCCGCCTTTGTCCCTCCTGAGTGCAGGAAGAGGCAGTGGCTTTTGTCCACTAGACAGGGTGAGGCAGGCTCCCTCCCAGTATTTCTATCCAGAAGGTGAATCCTCCATCTGGGTCCCCAGTCCTGACCTCACCTCTCAGGACTGAATGCCCAGCCCTGCACCCAGCCAGACCTCGGGCACACAAGGCTCCTGCAGAGGCCTGGCCCCCAACCCGCTGCCCACATTTCAGGCCTCGCTGCTGGAGGAAAGTGAACTGGGGACCGAGGGCAGGGACGCCCACACTACACCTTCAGCGCAGGGCCGAGGGAGCAGGGGCGCAGACGACCGGGTGCACAGACACAGGGCGAGTGTAGTCCGTGGCAGGCGTGAGTGCCGTGTGTGTCCCTGGGCGCCTGGCTGTGCTCCAGGCTGCATTTGGGACACAGGGCTGAGGGTGGGTGTGGGCAAGATGGTCTCCATGCAGAAGCTCCTGCGAGTGGCCGGGGTGGAGGGAAGGCCACCGGGTCTGTGTGCACAGGTGTGAGAGGAGCCCTTGAACCTGGTCCAGCTTCCTCCAGTTCAAGTCACTCAGGGTCAGAGTTAGGCTGGAAGGCGGGATTAGTCAGGGTGGGTGGGCTCAGGTCACGGTTGGTCAGGCTGCAAGGAAGAAGCGGCCAGTCCAGGCGGCCAGCAGGCTGTAGTTAGCTGGGACAGGCAGGTGTCACAGCAGGGGACCCAGTGGAGAGTGGTCACCGCCGGGCTGAGCGTTTGGGGGCTGGTGGCAGTTGTGCCTGGCAGGAGTCAGGGACACACTCTTCTGTCCCTGTGACCAGGAATACTTGAGCCGTGGCCCAGGTATGATTCTGGTCTCTGACCTGCCTCTCCTCTCTGACCGCCGGCTGCACCGCCCGCAGCCCCACACAGCACAGGCAGCGAGCGGCACTTCCAGCCCTGCTGTTGCTGGTCAACGTGTCCCCCCACCCAGGTTCCACAGAACCTTGTCTCACCAGCAACACTGCCCTAGGGAATAAGACCCTAGGGCTGTGCCACGTACGCTGGGCAAGGGGCGCGGCTGCTGCCCCCCCCACTCATGTGCTGCTCGGCCACGACGCTCACTCCCACCGAGCTGTGTAGCCCGTGTCTTCTGGAAGCTTGGGGAAGGGTCTACCTTGGGCTGCTCACGTTCCCCCCAGAGGGAGACGCTGTGTCATGGGGTGAGGCTGACATCTGTCCCGGGCTCTGGGAGACAGGGTCCCAGGGGTCTGCCTCTCCCTCATCCCCACTCCTCACCCCTTAGCCTTCACTGCCCCGTGAGTCCAGTGGGGGAGCCACACCAGGCGGGAGGGTTCAGAGGGAACGGAGGGGCATCGGCTGGGTCCCGGCCTCTGCGTGAGAGCAGCTCGGCCAGGATCATGAGAGCCCCTCTTGCTGGGACAGTAACTCTGAAACTAAGCTAGATCCCACCTACCCTTGACATTCTCCTAAACTTGACCTCATCCCACCCCAGCCATGCTGACCCAGTGAGCGTCCACGGACCTGCTGAATGTCTGCCCCCGCACCCCTCCCTAAGGCCACCCCTTAGCCAGGGCTGCCCCCCAAACCTGTCTCCACAAGGGCCTAGGCCCCCCCCTAAAGCAGCTCTCTGTCCACAGACCTTCATCGTGCTGAATAAAGGCAAGACCATCTTCCGGTTCAGCGCCACCAACGCCTTGTACGTCCTCAGCCCCTTCCACCCCATCCGGAGAGCGGCCGTGAAGATTCTGGTTCATTCATATCCTTCGCGGGCAGGCCCTGCCGTGTGCCCTCTGGGCCCCGCGGAGGGTGGACAGGGCGTTCGGGCTGAGGGTCGTGCCAGTTCCAGGCCAGACCTCAAACACAGCACCGTCATCAGCCCGGGAGCGGGTTGGAAATGTCGCGTCTCAGCCCCCACCCCACACCTGCCAGTCAGCACCTGCATTTCTTTTTTGTTGTTAATCCTCACCCAAGGATTTTTTTCCGCTGATTTTTGGAGAGAGTGGAAGAGAGGGAGAGAGAGAGAGAAACATTGATGTGAGAGAAACATCGATGTGAGACACATCGACTGGTTACCTCCCACGTGACCCCAGTGGAGGCCAGGGGTCGAACCTGCAACCCAGGTGTGTACCCTTGACCGGGAATCAGACCTGCAACCCTTCTGTCCCTGGGCCGATGCTCTAACGGCTGAGACAAACTGGCCAGGGCAGCACCGGCATTTTGACAAGGTCCCAGCAGATTCCTGGGCACTTGAAAGTTTGGGAAACCCTGCTCTGATCCTTAGGAGAGAAACGTCCTAGAAGCCAAGCTACCGAGCGCCTGGAAGACATGAGGCCTGTCGGTGTCCCTGGGTCCCGATACTGGCTGCAGGTGTCCCCTCCCACGGCACCCTCTCAGCCCTGCACCTCCCGCCCACAGCAGGGACCTCGGGCAGGTCGCCCAGGCCCCTCCGAGGAGAAACCACCTCGCAGTAAAGAGGCCTCCGGTCCCTTGCATGAGGGCATCTTCGAGAGAGGCAGCACAGGCTGTTTGATGAGGTGTTGGCAAAATGTTTGCAGGTTCTGAGTGTCTCAGAGAACTCTGGTTGGCGTTCAGTTATGTAACCACAGGCTGAAGAAGCTGCAGGCCGCAGCGGAGAGCTGCCATGCCCCAAGGGACACGCGCCGGTCTTCGGACCACCCATGGGGTGGAGTGCCAGCACCCCGCCGCGGCTGCCTTCCAGGCTTCAGAGGCGGCGCCCCCCGGACAGAGCCTCTTGGAGGGCCGGGTGCTGGCTGCGAGGCACAGCGGCTGTTCTGCCCGGCGGCCTGGCCAGCCTCCCTGTGACTGGCAGCTGGCTCTGCTGTTAATGGAATCCACGCTGCTGGGCTCAGCGGTGTGATTAGCCGTGGGTGTGGTGGCCTGGCCCGGTGGCGCTCCCGCAGGTCCCCTTGGTTGCCCAGTCTGGATGGCCAAGGCAGAGACCTCACCCATTAACCTCGGGGCGGGGGGCAGACAAGTGGCCAAGACCAGTGCTGCCAGCTCGGGTTTTCCTGTCCAGGCAGGGTGAGGACTGCTCCTTCCTGGCGCCACTTTCTGTCCACCTGGGCCCGTGCCCAGTCCTCACCCCAGGGGTTAACTGGAGGGGCTCGTGCTGAATCTGCTCTCTGCCTGCACACTCTCCCCCCTCCTCCGCTCGTCCTGGCTCTTCCGTGGTTGCTGAGACACGCGTGGGTCCGGGGAAGATCCCACTCGGGCTGGCAGCCGCAGCAGCAGGGTGAGCAGGCACGTCCGTGGGGAGGGTGTACTCAGCCGGCCAGTCTCAGCTGCGTCGCACTCTGTGAGGCAAGGGTGTTCTAGGTTTTATTCTCAGCCATTCCTCCCCGGGTTGCAGCCCTGTAGATGCCGGGGACTTTGCTGGGCACCCTGGGTGGTGTCATTAAGCTGAATGAGACCCTGTCCTTGCCCCCTGGGGAGTTCTATAGTCCCCTAAGAGTGATAAGACAGCTACAGAGTAGTTGTCTCAGCCTGGTGAGAACCCACAGGGCTGGCGCGGGAGGAGGACAGACCAGCCTCCTTTCTGCTCTGAGCCCGACTTCAGCCTCACTCCAAGGGCGTGGCCTCCCTGGAAGCCTGCTGGCGCCCTCCTGGGGCCTCTCCTCCTGGTATCTAACCAACCAGCGCTGCTTGGCAGCCGCAGCAGCCCCCAGAGATGCAGCCGCAGCCCCGGGGCTCCTGCACAGCCCTGGGCGGGGTGTGGGGCTGATGAGGCCAGGAAGGCAGGTGGGCCAGGGGGCTGTGGGGACCCCGGAGGTCCATTGAGCAGTGGTTCTGAGGCTGTGAGGGTCTGGCCCCACCTCACAGAACTGGCCCTGAGGCTCCGGCCAGCCTGGGTCTCTCAGGACAGCCACCCCAGGGAAGTGGCTCAGCAGGGGAGAGGCCCTGTGCGGGGCTCCTAGCTGCTGCCTTGGCATTCCACTGCCTGGGTGGATGGGAGAGCACTGCAGGCCCTCAGCAGCGCCCCTTAGTGGGCTCAGGGGGCACTAGATCCATGGGGTTAGGGAGCAGCTCCTGTGTCCTGAGCCTTGTCATTCAAAGTGTGGTACACCCACCAGTAGCATGTGCATCACGAGGATCTTGTAGGAATTGCCGAATCTTGTGCCCAACCTGTGTTAGCGCAGGCCCCAGGGTTCCTGAACACACTGCCCTGGGGCACCTGTTTCCAAATGCCAGTCGGTGAGGGCCACCTCGGTCTTAACGAACACTTGTTAGAACTGCTGACTCCTAGCCCTTTCCAGACCGCGGTCCCCAGGTGGGGCTAGGAATCTGTGATTTTTCCTTGCATTTTTTTTAGTCAAGGTATAATGCACATACTATAGAAGTCATCACCCCAAGCAGAAACCCCCTCCCATTGGCAGTCCTGGTGCATGTCTAATGCACACAGATTTCCTGGGTTGAATTATGAACTTTCTCTCTGCTTGCATTTTTATTGTGGGAAAATATATATAAATGTCCTTACCATTTTATTTTATTTTTTTAAATCATCTTTTTCATTATTCTTTTTTTTCTTTGTTGGTTTTAGAGAGAGAGGAAGGAAGAGGGAGAGAGAGATGGAAACATTGATGAGAGAGAACATTGATTGGCTGCCCCCTGCGTGTCCCCCACTGGGGATCGAGCCCACAACCTGGGCATGTGCCCTGACCGGGAATCGAACCAGCAACCTCTTGGTGCATGGGTCGACGCTCAACCACTGAGCCACACCGGCCAGGCCCATCTTAAACATTTTAGCGTGTACAGTACAGTAATGTTACCTAGATGCACGTGGCTGTGCAACACACCTCTAGAACTTTTTCATCTTGCAAAATTGAAACTCTATACCCATGGTTGGCTTACATCTTTATATCCATTTCAATATCTAAGTCCTCAGTGGGCAGAGGCCTGTGCCAGGCCCTTTGGAAAGGGCAGGGGGGGCAAAGACACACTTAAAAGGGGACAGGGATGCAGCCCCGCTCTCAAGAGAGAAACCGGCTCACTTGCAGCAAGCCAGGCGCTCACGGGGACGAGTTAGCAAGTGCACGCTGACTCAGCACCTCTGCTCTGGGCCCCACGCTGGCAGTGCATCCTGGGAAGGTGCCCGGAAGGCCAGCATGGGCATGTTGACTTGTTTTCCTGTGTATTTTTGTTAAAATACTGCAGGATGTGTTCCTGCTAGGATAAAGGAAAGAAACCAGGCGAACTCCAGATTCCGCTGCAGTCACATTGAGAGTCCTCATGTTCACACCAAGAGGCATTTTGCTTTCCTGGGTGCACAGGATCTGTTCACAAAATCCTCCCACGTTTCTCTGGCAGATTCAAATGGGCAATCAGACCGCATGTTTGTGTGTGTGTATGTGTGTGCTCAGTTAATAGCACAAATCGATGAAAATGCCCCCACCGTTCAGTCCCTTCCCTCTGGGAGGTTTTTGACTGCAGACAGGCGGCCTGAGTTTCCGGCATTCCCCACGACCATGCAGGCAGTCCTTGCTGGCATTTTAATCACGAGGCTGGGAGTGGGTGTTTGGGGACAATGACATGACAGGATGGAAGATGTTCAGCCGAGCTCTGGCCTGGAGAGCTGGCCTTTGCTTCTGCCCACACATGGGACCAGCTCAGTCATCGGCCTGAAAGAACCAGGCGGTGCAAACAGGTGTGTCTGGCCAGGAGTGCACCTGACTCATCTCTCGTGTTGGCTGTGTGCTGGCCAGGAGTGCACCTGACTCATCTCTCTTGTTGGCTGTGTGCTGGGCTCCATGGGGAACCTGGGATGCTTTGGGCAGACAGAGTCCCATGGACTAGAGGCTCAGTCTAGGTAGGAAGAGATCTCTCTTTCTCTCTCTCTCTCTCACACGCACACACACAGGAGTGGCAGAGAATAGTGGAAGGGTCATCTCCAAGGCCAGGAGACCCAGGCAGGGTTTTGAGCAGTCAGGTGGCAGAGACTAGAGTCTGCTGCATCCTGGGCTATTGCTGTGTTTGGAAAAGCCAAAACCAGACAGGCAGCCCCTGTCATGTCCCACTGCGGGACCCAGGCTGGCAGGCTGTCTACTCTGGCTCCTCCTTGTCTTGCTGTTAGAATCCAGCTCACCTCGGTCTGTGTCCAGTCGAGTCCTCTGGTCCAAGGCAGCCTGTCCACCCTGCTGCTCTCCACCAAGGGCCTTTCCTGCACTTCAGTGAGAGCTATGAACGCCCCCGCCCCCCCCAGCCAGGAGAGGTCTCCCATCCTCAGCCCGCCTTGCTTTGCCATGGCCCACAGGGCTGACTGATCGCTAGAGGAAGCCTGGCCAGCCTCTGGGCCTGTACATGCCTCCTCCAGGAAGCCCAGCCAGAAGCAGCTCTGGTTTCTTACAACATCCTATCTCAGGGCAGCTCGGTGGCTCCAGGGCCTCCCGGCCTCCGCACAGGGCCAGGCGCTCATGCTCAGGTGGCAGTTGTCCTTAAAAATGACAAGTAGGCCCTGGCTGATTTGGCGCAGCAGTTACAGGGTCGGCCCGTGGACCAGAGAGTCCCGGGTTCGGTTCCCGCTAAGGGCACATACCTCGGTTGCAGTTTGTCCCCAACCCGGTTGGGGTCGTGTGGGTGGCAACCAGTCAATGTTTCTCTCTCTCTCTTCCCCCTCTCTCCCTCCCGCTCTATCTGAAGATAAATGCAAAAATGTCCTCGGGTGAGAATAAAAGATAAAAAAAAAATGACAAGTAAGTCCACTCCTCCTGCGTGGCAGGCTGCTTACACTTTCGGTGGGGGCTGACATTCCCCCCCGGTGGGTGAGGGCCTACAGCCGTGTGACTCAAGCCAGCTCTTCGGTCTGGAGGCAGGGGAGCGGCCCAGGCGACCTCTGGGGTCGCGGTGCAGAGACCGGACGGCGGGGGTCAGGGGAGGGCAGCCACGGCTGAGCTGGGCTCTGCCATTAGCCAGGTTGGAACCGACAGTCATCACCTCCCGCTTAGCCGCTTCGAACAACACGAAGTGACCCCCTGACAGCTCTGGAAGTCAGAAATCCAAAAAGTTCTCACCGGGCTAAAATCAAGACGGCTGCATTCCCGGTTGGTGGCTCCGGGGGAGAATCTGTTTCCTAGGCTTTTCCAGCTCGAGAGGCTGCGTGAAGTCCTGGCCCGGGGCCCTGTTTCAACGCCCGTGACAGCTGGCGGAGTCTTTCTCACACGCGTCGCGCCCAGGCTGGCTCTCTGCCCACCCTCGCTCGCTTTTCAGGACCCTGTGAGGACCCTGGGCCCACCCAGAAAATCCGGGATAATCTCCACTTCTTAAGAACCTTAATTTAATCACACCTGCAAAGTCCCTTCGCCCTATCAGTTAACAGTAACAGTTCCCAGGGATTAGAGTATGGTTGTCTTTAGGGGGCTGTTATTCTACCGACTGGGGTCTCCTTCAGCTCAGCCTCTTTGTGCCTTGGTCTCCTCAGCCGCGAAGTGCAGACCAGGTGCCCACCGCATGGGTAGGTGGGAGCATTGAATTCGTTTATGGATGCAGAGAGCAGAGCCTGGCACCCAGGAAGGGCGCCTTTATGGAGGCTTTGCTCTTAGCATCATTTCACATTTCTGGAGACATCTGGGACCCTCAGTAGAGGGCTTAGCAGTGGATTTGTGGGAATGAAGAAAGGCTGGTCAAGGGGCTTGTTAACTGCCTGGTGAGTGAGGGCGGCATGGAGCCCAGGTGGGGGACCCGCGGGAGAGGGAGAGGGAGAGGACGCCGAGTTGGGTATCTAATCTTGCCCTTGAAAACTGGAGATGGACGTAGACCTGACGTGGAGACCGCCACACAGGCAGACAGATGCAGACACCTAGCTGAGGGAGGGACCCAGCGCCCAGGGTGGTGTCCCCTGGCCAGGGAGCAGTCCAGGCTTCCTGGGGCCATGGTCTGTGAGCTGAGAAGCTCTGGTTTGATTAAAAGGGCTTCCAAAGCCTGATCTCTCTCATCCCAGATGAGAAACAGAGTTTGTTGTAGGCTGGGGTGATTCCCCAGGTTCCCTAGGGGGGCTGCAGGCGGGGAGAGCATCCACCTGGTTCCCAGAGCGGCCTCCCCTCTCCCCAGCTGGGGCAGCCCCTCCGCTCAGAAGTCAGCCCCCAGCTCGGCCGATCTCCAGTCTGACTGCTTTCGTCTCCCCATCTGCCAGGCTGGGTCAGGTGTGGAGGCGGGTGGAGCTGTGGGAGGGAGACAAGAGGCAGGCCCCTGGAGCTCAATTACTGCAGCTCCTGGGCGGGGTGGGGAGCCTGGGGGCAGCCGCAGGGAGGAGGAGGCCCAGCCTCCTCTCTGGCTATAGAGGGAATCTGTGAGGTCAGCAGAGTATCCCCGTCCCAGGCCAGGCCCCTGGGGAGTGCCCCAGGGTCTGTCCCTTGCTCCACTGTAGATCTCACAGGTGAGGGAGGCTGAGGAGACCCCCCTGAAGCAGCAGCTGGGACCTACAGCCAGAGACCAGGCCTGAGGCAGTTCAGTTCAAGGCCACCGGCCCAGAAAGATGCCCGAGACATGGTCCCAGCATTTGTCCATCTCCCCTGCTGTCTGAGGACAGATGGGCACTGCCAGTCGGAGAGCAGCTATGTGCTAAGGTGCTGGGGGTGCTCCTGCTGGGGGTGTCTCGGAGTGGGGGGGGCACATAGTGGGTGGAAGGAGGACCAGAGTGAAGAGCATGTGCAGATGCAGGAAGCAGCCCCCTGCCTCCCCACGGTCAGTGTGTCCTAACAGTGCAGAAGTTTCGTCAGCAGAACCCTTCAGAGAAGTCGTAGGACAGAAGTCAACCTGGGCTGCTCCCATAGAAGTGGGGGAGGGGACTCGGACCCCGCACCATGGCCTTCCTCTCCGACAGTGGCCCTTGAGAGAGTCTCAGCGCCATCTCTCCCCACCGTGGCTGAGCAGTGCTCCCACAGGGCCGTCCGTGAAAGCCTCCGAGGTCTGGGGCGGCCCTTCCTCACTTGCCTCCAGGGGGGACCCTGCAGGGGACCTGCCAGAGGTGCGGATCTGTGTGTCGTGTCCAGCTGCAGTGCCAAGGAGGGGACAGAGGCCAGCCTCGGTAGGGAGAGGCTGGCAAGGACTGGGCACAGCCCCAGTGTCTTCTTGGAGCCCCTGTCTCGTTGATGGGGCAGCTGTGGCTGGACCGTCTGGCAGTGGCGGCCTGGCCGGTGCCCGCTCGTGGTTTTCCTTGACTGCTGGCCCACGCTCTTCAGCATGCTCATCATGTGCACCATCCTGACCAACTGTGTGTTCATGACCCAGCACGACCCCCCGCCCTGGACCAAGTATGTCGAGTGAGTATCTTCAGGGCCTCCCCAGCCGGCCCTTCCCTCCCTTCCTTTCCCTTCCATTCTGTGGCCCCTAAAGTCACCCCTAAAAAGTCTGGGTCCAGGCTCAGGGTCGCACCCACCTGGGGGATCCTTGGCCCAGCCCCCCCTTTGGCTGCTCTCGTTCCTGCCAACTTCTTGCTTTGAGTTGTGCCTTCGGGGAAGGAAGGGACAAGTGGCGTTCAGCTTCTCCCAGAGAGGTCTGTCGGCACTGGTGAAGACTCTGAAATAATAACGATAATAATAATAATTGACTGAGCACTTAGTGCGTGGCTGGCACTGCCATAGGACAACAAATATTGTCTCGAACCCTCACAGCCACTGTCCCTGTCTGACAGATTAGGAGACACGGAGACCTGGGAGGTAGCTTGCCCGACCCCACGTCAGTACCAGCCTGCTGCCCCCCCCAGGCCTGCCTCCTCTAGCCCTTCGCGGTTTTAGATCCTTCCTTCCCAACGAAGGTACCTTACCCACAGGCGCTAAGCAGCCCGGAGGGCCCTTGGCGCATTTGGCTCCTGTTTTCAGGAGACCGAAGTGGCTTGCCTGGTGACTGTCCCTGTTCACACAGGACCCAGCAGTGCCAGGGCCTGCATTCGGCTGCTGCGACCTGAGAGGACATGGTGTGGCCTCTCCCGTTCTAGCCCTCGGGCCACAGTCCCAGCATCCAGGCATCTGGGATTCTTCAGCCCACCCCAGGCAGAGAGAACAGCCCCCATCCACCCTCAAGTGTCAGAATATCAATCCCCTGTCCAAGGTCAAGGTAGACGTCTGTAGCCACTTACCCTGTGGGTGGTTGAGGATGGACCATGCTCTCCTCAGTAGCTGCTGAGGACCCACAAACAAGGGTGAGGGGCTGTGACTGGTGTCCTTAAGGTCCCCTGGGGCAGACCCAGTGGCCACCATATGCCTGGGGTGAGGAGGCAGGTGGAGGGTCTTCTTATATCGAGACAACCCAGAGAGGAGGTGGAGGTTCAGATGTGCACATGGCAGGCACAATGCTGAATAAACAGATGAGAAGTGCCCGGCCAGTGTGGCTCAGTGGTTGAGCGTCAACCCATGCACCCAGAGGTCGCCGGTTCGATTCCCGGTCAGCACAGATGCCCAGGTTATGGGCCTGATCTCCAGCAGGGGGCATGCAGGAGGCGGCCAGTCGATGTTCTCTCTCATCGATGTTTCTGTTTCTCTCTGCCTTTGGGAAGATGGGTCAGTGAGCTGGAGGTTTGGAACAGCTCCCACCTGCTGCCGTGGGGCCCCGGGAGAGCCTGGTCTGAGGGCCCCTCGAGGGCCCTGGGGACCTGGCCCGCAGGCTCCCGCCTGCCTGAGAAGCCCCGTCCTCTCTCCCCCAGGTACACCTTCACGGCCATTTACACCTTTGAGTCTCTGGTCAAGATCCTGGCTCGGGGCTTCTGCCTGCATGCGTTCACCTTCCTCCGGGACCCGTGGAACTGGCTGGACTTCAGCGTGATCATCATGGCGTAAGTACCCCGCTCCGCGGCGCTGTGCTGTGCCCCGCCAGGCACCCCTGTGCCCAGCCCCGCCGGCCTCCCCACTGCTGTCCCCATTGCCGCCCGGCGTGGGCCGTAGGGCGCCCGCCGCCGCCACGCGGGAGGAAGGCAGGGTGGAGACCCTCCGCTCATCCTGGTGGGGAGAGACGGGCCACAGTCACTCAGGCGGGCCATGGCCGTCAGGGCCACTGCCTCGTCGGTGGCCCACAGCAGCGCTGTGCTTGAGGGACACCACTGACCTGCTTGAGGGCCCTCTGCCCTTTCCACCGAGGAAAGCCAGTGTCACAGCCCCAAACCCCTGGACCACTGTGAACGCGACCTGGACTGCAAGTGACTAGAGTGAACCCCAGTGCAGAGACAGAGGAGCCTGGAGAAGGGAGCAGCACCCCAGGAGCTTGCACCAGGCCCCCGGGTCTGCTCTGCCCGCCCGGACTCCACGTCTGGCACCTTCTAAGGCACCTGGCCTCGGTCCTCACACCAGCCCAAGAGGTGGGCTGTGTGGGAATTCCTTATCCCCGTTTGACAGATAAGGAAACTAACGCCAAGGACACACAGGGAGCCCACCAGGAAGTGAACGTGACCCCTGGCCTGTGGCCACGCAGGCTCAGGTCCCCCCTCGCCTGGGAGGAGACCCTGGCTGAAGGATTGGTTGAGGCATGCCACTCTGGAGTCTCATCGTCGGGTGCTATGTTCTGGAGACAACCGGCAGGCCTTCCCAGCAGGGGTGGTGGTCAGGGGCTCCGCCATCAAACCCTCTGAAGGCCGGAGGTGTGTGGAGAAGCCGGTGCGCACAGTGCTGGGCACCCCCCGTGGCAGGGAGTGGACCTGGTTACACTCCCGGCCTCGCAGAACCTCCGCGTCCCCACGTGGAGAGGACAGCGTCAGGCTCGGTGGCAGCCGAGGTGCGGTTCAGTGCCCACTTTCTGTGATCCTCAGATTCACAGAACTGACCTATTTATGACAGTCTTGTTTGTTGATTTCCGAGAAAGGAAGGGAGAGGGAGAGAGAGAAGCATCGATTTATTGTTCCACTTATTTATGCATTCACTGGTTGATTCTTGTATGTGCCCCGACTGGGGATCGAACCCACAACCTTGGCGTATCGGACAACACTCTGACTGAGCTACCCGACCAGGGCCACAAAGTCTTTCTTTAACCCCGGACACGAGCAGCCCTGAGCTCAGCCGAGCTCTGAAGGAGGGAAGAGAAAAAACAACCTCAGACAAGCTGGATAGAGAACCCAGTGGTCGGAAAAGGCATCAGAACCTCTCTTTCTAGAGGCGCTTTTCCGCTTGCCAGGTAGGGAAACAGGCTCGGAGAGAGGCGACCTCTCGCCCCGAATCCGGTGTAGATGTGGGCCTGGGCGGAGCTGAGAACAGTGGGGTGCAGGGGCCGGGGCCGGCTGTGCGGCCTCCCAGGCCACGGGAAGAGCCGAGTGCCGTGGGGCCACCGGAGGAGCGAGCTGGAGCGCCGTGGTCTCATTCCGCAGAGACCGTCTGCCTCTGTGCGGACAGACGAGCGAGGATGGGTGAAGCAGCAGGGCAGTTAGGGGCTGTTTCTGGAGCAGGAGAGAGGTGTGGCTGGGACCAGGGTCCGGTGGAGAGGGAGAGCGACGTGGTCAGGGTCTGGATACACGGCGAGGACGGGGCTGACGGAGACCCCAAGGCGGTGTGTGGCTCGAGCGGCTGGGCGAGTGGTCGCCATCTGTTGAATGGACAGTGGACAAGGAGCCGGCTGAGGGAGGAAGGGAATCAAGGCCAGTTTGGAATGTGTCACGTGGGAAAGCAGCCAGGGTGAGACAGGACGTCGGCGATGGCATGTGCCCGTCGGGACTCCGGCTAGAGGGCCGAGGGGGAGATGTAAATTCAGAAGCCGTCAGGATGCAGATGGTATTTGCAGCCCGGAGACCCGATGAACTCATCCAGGAGGGAGCGTAGCCAGAGGAAGGAAGCCGCCTGGGCACTTGGGATGCCCGGTGTCTGCGGGTCAGGAACAAAGAGGATCAAGGGGAAGAGACTGGAGGAACCTGCCAGGGTGGGTGGAACGGAATCACGAGAGAGAGTGTCCCGAGAGCCAGCGGCGGGATGTGACTGCATTGGGAAGATACCACAAGGCGGCGGAGGAAGGCGAGAGCCAAGACTGGACCAACACTGTGAATACCACCGATGACCTTGACAGGTTTTGGTGGAGTGGAGGACGTACACCTGTCTATAGAGGGCTCGAGAGAGAGGGAGGAGGAGAGGCAGAGCAAGTAGAAACATCGATTTTGTAGGATTTGCTATAAACAGGTTCAAAAATAGAGCGTTAGCCGGAGGGGCAGGTAGGTGAGCGGGGTGTTTAAAGAAGGGAGGCCTTTGCAGGTGGGTGGGACATTCAGGAGAGGGGAAGGCGGATGATGGGGGAGGGGGGGACGGCAGGATGGGAGCCCTCGAGCTGGCCTGAGGGGTGGGAATCCAGGGCCCAGGGGAGCGTTGCACTGAGGGTAGGGAATGCAGAATTTCACCTGGAGATGGATGTGGACGGAGAGTCAGTGATGAGAGAAGAAGAAATTTCTCTTCTGAATGCGTCTATTTTTCTCAGTGATAAGAAGCAGGATCATCAGCTGAAAACATGAGGTCTACAGACAGCGGAAGCCAGGAGGTTGCACTGACTTGGGAGTGGAGGAGTGTGGCCACTGGGCCCGGACTCCAGGGTGCATGAGGGAGGGACAGTGACCCATGGACCTGAGAGCCCTGGTCACAGGAAGGGGGCTCGGCAGGAGGACACAGAGGCTGCCTTAGCCTTCCCACCTTCCCATCCTGGAGCCTGAGCAGGACAGTTTCATGGGAATGATGCCCCTGCCCCTGGGAGAGATGTTGCCCTGGGCCCCTTGTCTGACAGCAGGAGGGGCCTGTCTGGCCTGTCTTCAGCCATGACTTTGGGGATGTTCTGCATGACCTCAGGCCCTTAGCAAGTCCTCCTGTCCCATCTCAGGAGAGAATCGCATTCTCCATTCCCACGGGAAACCACTCCTTCCGCTCGGAATCACAGAGCAGGTGTGGCCTGCCTGCCTTCACTCTGTACCAGAACCGGGGGTGACAAAGCAGAACAGGGCCTCAGGGGCCACCAGACAGAAACAGCACGCTCACTCCCCCTGGGGCCGCATGAACCCACTGGAACGTCAGCTTTGTGCCCTGGACTGGATTGGCCTGGCAGCTTTGATTGACAGTGGTTCTGCCTTATGAAAACAATTAATTACTGCCCTGGTAATGCAGTGGAATGCATTTTGCTGTAGCCAAAATGGTTCAATAACACGGGGCTCTCAGGATAATCAAAGGAGTCTTAAGTGGCAGAAAAGTTGTATTCGATGAAACTCCCCAGCTCCGTTTTTCATAGATGGAGAAGCCGAGGTTCAGAGAGAGCCTGCCCTTGCTCGAAATTATAGAATAAATCAGCAGCAATGCTGGGACTCAAACCAAGTCCCCCGGCTCATAGCCACGAGAGGCACCCCAAGGCTGGGGTTCCTGGCCAGGTTCCGGCCTGATCCCTGCCCCACCTCCACCTGCTGCAGAGGACATCGGAGGATTGGAGCGGATGCCCGGAAGCCCACCAGGCTCAGCCGCAGCCCTCCAGCCAGAGCTCTTCCTGTGGCCCCTCCCAGCTGGGCATTACCTGCTAGTTAGCACAGCCTCCCACCTTCTGGGGTTGTTATGGAAACCAAACCTGGAGGGGAAGGGGGGAGGGCAGAGAGGAGAGGGTGGCAATCAACACAGTAGCTAGCTGCCGAGTGTACCCTCCGCCTAGCAGCCAGGAGGCCATCTGGGTAGAATGGGGGGGAGCCAGCAAGTCGGGTGGAGCCGGAAGGCCAGGTCTCCCCTTCCTCACGGCCCCTCGGCCTCCAGAAAGGCTCCCTCTGCACCGAGGCTGCTGTGAGAGGTGGGATTCTCACCCACACCCTATGCGCCTTCTGTGTCGGAACCCACGACCCCAGACCAGCCTCTGCCCCTGCCCAGCAGCTTGGCCCTGGCAGAAAAGGTAGAATGGCCTGGAGGAGCATTTTGCTGGCCTGACAGGCAGGGGTCCACCCCAGCCCCACCCACCACTGCTGAAGCTGGCCCTTCGACAGACAGGGCTCTCTCCTGCCTGGCCCCACTCCAACGCCCCAAGGGAGGCCTCCCTAGAAGTCTCAGGCCCCAACATGCGCAGCAGCCAGGCCCCCAGGCTCTGAGTCAGTGAAAGAGGCAGTAGCCCCATGTCACACGCATGGTCACAGACATGCCCTCTCCCAGCCCTTACCCCACCTGCGAGACTCCCACCTCCTCAGGATTGCTCCCAACTTCACACACACAGCCACCAGCCCCTCTCCCGGGGGAGCACACACCTCCAGACACTGGGATCTCAGCTTCTCTGTGCTCAGGACCAGCTGCTCAGGGGCAAGTGACGAATGGAGGGCAAGTCCCGCCTGTGCTGGGGACCCTGAAGGGGCGGGGAGGCAGGTTCCACCCCGGGACAGGCAAAGACAGGCGGATCCACTTCACTGGAGACTCGGGACAGACAGGGTCTGTAAGGGGCAGGAGGGGAGAAGCAGGGAGAGTTGGGCCTCTCTCCGATCTACGTAGTCCTCCACCCACCTCTGTCATGGGAAGAGACAGCTTTGAAACATGTGGCCCAGGCCACAGCCGTGCGCCCAGCAGCAGAGCCACGACTTCCGTGGGGTGGCAACACTGGCGGTGTCTCAGGCTTCACCTGACCGTCCTGCGGCCGCACCTTGTCGGACAGAGTCCAAGCCTGAGAAGAACGTGGACCAGAGGCTGGAGGGTCTGACCCGTCAGCGAGAATAGAATAACCAGCCATAGTTGGGAGGGAGCTTGGAGCAAATTCATTACACATAGGGGCCAGAACAAGGGAGGTGACTTCCGCTCCCCACTGGAAGTAGGGCTGCACCCAGCTGCTGCCGTGGAGGGAGGTTTGGAAACTGAAATGAGTCCACGGGATGGAGTAGAAATCGCATGATCTGTGGTATGACCAGAAGGAAAGTCCTGCTGACTTCCCGTCTCTGAAGGGATGGAGTGAGGGAGCCGACGTGGTCCACTGGCCTATGAAGATGGAAGGCCCCATGAGTGGCCGTAGAGGAGGCTGGCGACAGCCAGTGTCGTTAGGACTGGACCCCACTGGACCCTGCTGACCCCAGGACACAGCCTGCTGAGCCCTTCCCTGCAGACGCTCCGAGCAGAGTGGAGGGGCCTGGTCACCAGACTGCCTGGCAGAGAGCGTCCAGCCGCACTGCCAGCCCACCCTTGGCACCCACCCGGTGTCGCTGGGCTGACGTCCTGGGTCTGACATCACTCAGACACCAAGTCAGACACTTGGTTAAACATCAGACAGCCTGAGGCTGCTGTCCTTTGTTAAACACCAGACACCTTCGGTTAAATGTCAGACACCCTGGATGCGGAGCCTTTGGTTAAATATCACAAGTCACTTGCCATTGTCCCAATGGCCCCGGTCACACGCTGTGCCCCCGTCTCAGACATCCTGGTCATGTGGCCCAGTCTCAGACATCCTGGTCATGTGGCCCATCCACACGTGCCCTCCAGAGTGGACTCCTTCCTCCTGTGCCTGTGGAGGCCACGGAGGTCACTCCTACTGTGGAGACCCAGGGCCATCCTTGGGGGTCAGGTAGCGTCTTGGGGTGAGACTGGGGTGGACTCGTGGGGGAGGGTCTGGAGTCTCCCGCGGATCTCAGTCCACTGCCCGAGAGCAGAGGAGGAGGCGGATGTCAGGCATCCTCCCTTCTCGTCTTCCAGAGTCACCTTGAGAACTCTGCTCCTCGCATCAGGTACTCAGGGACTCCGGAACCACTCCTCACGGAGACTCACGGTTGGGAGGAGAAAGTGGGTAACCCTCAGACACCCAGACACCCTCCTGGGCTGGTCTCAGCTGGGGCGCCAGGGCCCCAGGGTGTGGAGCAGCCAGGCACAAGCGGATGATCCAGACCGTGGAAGGTGCAGACCAAACCCAGGCTCAAAAGCCCACCTGCTTCCTCTGTCACCTGGCCAGGGCCTCCTGGAAAAGTCTCCTCTTCGCTCTGCTGTGTCCCCAGCCTCACACCCTGCCACGTGTTGTGTCACGGTGCCCAGTGTCAGAGAATACGGCAGAGTAGTTGCCTCTGGGCACCGGTCACTCACAGGACATCACCAAGAGAGCTGCCTGCGGCTTGCTTGTGGACATCTTCAAGGCACCCTGGCTGAGGTCCCCGTGTCAGGAGGGTTGAGATCGGGGAGAAAATTTAGGGGAGGCCCTGGACCATCCACATTCCTCCCTGGGGGAGAGGGCTGGTCAGGGGGGCAGGCTGAGGTGCTGCTTTATGATCCCCAATAACTGTGGTTTGATTCTGCAGGTATGTATCAGAAAATATAAAACTAGGCAATTTGTCGGCTCTTCGCACTTTCAGAGTCTTGAGAGCTCTGAAAACTATTTCAGTTATCCCAGGTAAGCTGTCCAGGTCTGCCTCTCAGATCTCAGTGACCAGTGACTCTCTCTCTGTCTCCCCCCCACCGTGTGTCCCCCCTGGCGTGCCGTCACTGTCTCGTGTGTGACTTTCCCTTGTTACAGATACACAACTGAATTTGTGGACCTGGGCAATGTCTCAGCTTTACGCACCTTCCGAGTCCTCCGGGCCCTGAAAACTATATCAGTCATTTCAGGTGAAAACCAGGTTAAACGCCAAGGCTGGAGGGACTTGCCAGCCACCTGGGCGTCATGGTGACCCTCAGGAAGGCCCCTCGCATGTACCTGTCACCAGAATACCGTTGCCGAGCCCGGGCGTGGGAGCGGTCAGCCGGGAACGGGCCTCAGGTGCCCATCCCTGCAGAGCCCGCACTCAGACACCAGGGGACACAGAGCACCCATGGCAGGTCCCAGGCGGACCCAGATTCTCCCCCAGGTCGGGATGTCTTTCCCAGACTGAACTCAGCGATTCGAATGGCTAAAGCTCGTGTGTGAGATGCTTCTGCCTGAAGCATCGTCCTCCAGTGAGGAAACCACATGCGCACCCAGAACCAAACAGGAAAACTCAGCCCAGTCTTTCCTGGCCGAGTGCCCAGCTCCTGCCTCCCGGCCCCTCTGCTGACCGGAGCCCCGGCCCCGTTTTGTGAAACGGAGTGTACTCTGCGGACAGGTGTCATCGGGCCTTGGCGTCTAACACCCTCGCTGCATGGTGCGGTAGAGGTGTAGCAAACCGCGCATGGTAGCCTCAGGAAGAAATTCTCCTTGACAGATGTTGGCAATTGTTCCCAGAGCTCTCCCAAGGCCGGATGCTTCTCTAGAAAGTCAGTCAGCCCCAGGACTCGGGAAAGCTCCCAAAAGGCTTACGATGATTTCAGAGCCCAGAGGGCCATGCCCGGGGCTCGTCCCAGAGCCTGTTCAGAGTGCAGCGGCTCTCTGAAGAGGGCGCTCCTGGTAAGGCCGCTAGAGACTGGTTGCGCGCCACGCATCTGGAGAGGGTCAGAGCTGAGGGAAGAATTCGGTGAACCACACGGCAATACCCGCTCCTGGTTTGAGAAGCTCGTGGGTCCTGGTCCCGTGGTCTGCATTTGGCTGTGTCCCCAGGGGGGAGGGGGGGCTCTGCTCTGAGCTCCCTGGAGGTGTTCAGACTCCCCCTGGTGGAGTTAGGTGTCTTATGAGAGGAGCCCCCCTTACGCTGTGCTCACACCGGGCCTCAGGATGTTCCTCCCGGCCTCTGAACCCACCACAGCATATGCACAGGGGCCCCTTGTCCCCCACAAGTGGCCCAGATTCCTGCTAAGAGCCAGTAGCAAGTGGGACAGCCTGTTCCCAGCCCCTCCTATGGAGCTGCCCCATTGAGACAGGTGTCCTTTGCCTTGACAAACACATACGTGCTCGGAAGCCCGGGTCTGCATCCTAGGGCCCCAGGGAGAGCGTCACAGCACACGCCTCACGAGAGAGGAAGAGCACACGGACCGTAGCAGTGAAGGAAAGGCGTGTCCCAGCCTATTTTGTAAGAAAGGCTGACAAAGGAAAATGTTTCTGTCCTGGAGAAAACCAGGAAGCCTATCAAACATAGCCCAGACCCTGAACGTGGTCATTAGGAAAATGCTCTGGTCGTATTCCGGAGGGCTCCCTGGAGGAGGTGTCCCCTGAGCCCTGGAGCCTTGGCCGTCTCCAGACCTTGGTGTCCTTTCCCATAATGTGGGGAAGGGGTAGGAACGGTCGGTTTCTGAGAGCTCTTCGCCCAGCCTGCTAGAACTTCAGTGGCAGGAGAACTTTTCACTGGGTCCCCCAGGACTCAGCTCTTCCTGGGTCTTTTCAGAAAGAATCCCGTTATTTCACCGGAGTGAACTCTGTCACCGATACGAGAAGCATTAAAGGGATTGGTCTGTGCTCACCAACCTATTGTCCCCACGGACATGGTCTCCAAAAACCAGGAGGTGCCCTGCTGGGCCTTGAACTGAACACTTTAGGCCAAAGATGCTTTAGCCCAGCAGTTGGGGCAGAGTCCTGTGGGGGTGCATGCTGCTGCCCACCAGCCCTCGCTTTGTCCCCCCACTATGGGCAGAGCAGAGTGTAGGACCCACGGAGGGGCCCCAGGACCTCCACTAGAGAAGAGGGGTCTGAACTACAAGGGGCTCGTAATCCCGCCACCACCACCCCATGCCCAGTCCCCTGCGAGGCCCACCCGCTGCCCAGGCAGTTGCCAACATCTGCCAGGACGATTTCCATAGAGAGCGCTGAGTGCCCCTGCGCCCCGGGCGGCAGCAGTAGTGGCACCATGGCTGGGACTCCCTCTCCCGTGTTTGCCCATCGCTGCCTCCCTGTCTCCGGGCCATGGGCTCAGCAGCCTCAGGCACAGCCACCACGGGTGCTCCTAACACATTAACCGGCTGGACAATGGATGGATGGAGCATAATCTGAGATCTGGCCGCTTGTGGGGTGGGGTCGGGTGGGGTGGAGTGGGGTGGCGGGGGAAGGGGCAGGGCCCTGCTGCGGGCAAAGAAGCCCCCTCGCTCTTGCTGTGCTCGAACCCCTCAGAGGGCAGTAGCTCACGTGTCAGACCAGACGTGTCTACATGCTTCTCTCTCACTCTGCTGTGTGGTGCTGGCTTCTGCAGGGAGCTGGGCTGTGCAACTAACAGATCACAGCCTCTCCGCTTTGGGGTCGGGGTGGACAGGGTCGGGTCCCGGAGGCACAGGGCAGAGGACAAAAATGCAACCAGGCAGCCCCTCCCCTGCCCCGGAGCCTATCCCAAAGGGACGCAGGCCAGCCAGAACAGGCCCCTTAGGACATGACCCACCTTGGCCTTGCCAGACCTCCCCTCCCGTCCCCTCGCACATGAATTAGATCCACCACCAGGAATGGCTGTGTCTCTCCCCATCCCAGGATCAAGGCTGCGGCCCCTCCATTGTCCCTGAATGGGCCTAACCTCAATCTCCTTCCTGTAGGTACATCTAAAGGGGCAGGCCTGGTAACCTTGGGGACAGAGCGAAAGAGGGGACAGACTTTGAATCTTTGCCTCGTCAAGTAAACAGCATTTCCCACACCCGGTTCACATGCGTGGCTACTGGAGAGCAAGGAGGACCGGGCGTTTTGAAACACACACAGACGACTCCTGCCCCAGGGGATCAGGACAGAATCTCAGCCAAGGAGAGGGGGACTTGGGTCTGCAAAGTCCAAGAGAGGCCTCCTTCACTCTGCCCCCACTTCATGGTCGCCCACCTGGCCCAGCACCCCCTCGGGCCTGCCCCCGCCCAGGGTGACCCCCTGCTCGTTGTCCCCTCCCCCAGGCCTGAAGACCATCGTGGGGGCCCTGATCCAGTCTGTGAAGAAGCTGGCCGACGTGATGGTCCTCACAGTCTTCTGCCTGAGCGTCTTCGCCCTCATCGGCCTGCAGCTCTTCATGGGCAACCTGAGGCACAAGTGTGTGCGCAACTTCACGGAGCTCAACGGCACCAACGGCTCCGTGGAGGCCGACGGCCTGGTCTGGGCCTCGCTGGACCTCTACCTCAACGATTCAGGTGTGTGCAGCCCGGGCCGCTCCCCGCACAGGCCTGGCCACAGGGCAGGCCTCCCTCCAGGGCCGTACGAACCCCGCCTGCCCCCGGACATGCAGCTGTGTCTCAGGGACCCCAGCCCCTGCCCTTGTGCATTCTCAGGCGGGTGGGGAGATGACGCTGAGGTCAGGAAGGATGGAGGGCGACGGGAGCAGCAGCGTGTAGACTGAGGCAGGACCAACCCCAGAGTGTCGGGAGGGGCGAGGAGACCACCCCCCCGGGAGAGAGGAGGGTTAGATTGGTAAAGGGGGGGGCGCAGAGCTGGGGGAGCCCACGAGGCTTCAGCGTGGAGGCCCCACCTGGTGGGCATGCGACTTTTCAGTTGACTTTGGGGTTCCTTGCCTGAATGTGAATTCCATACATGTGCACCCCAAACCCCATGAGAGGGAGGGGACAAGCCCAGTTACTGTCCAGGCCCCCTCATTCCACTGCTCCCGGTGACACTTCCATGCTCCGGGCTGGGGGCCAGCACCTGTCTTGGCCACTGGTCTGGACCAAAGGGAGACACGGTTGCAGGCCACATTCCACAAGAACCCTGAGGCTGTTACATAGGTCAGGCCTCTTACGTCCACCAGCAGTCAGTCCACTTGGGAAGAAGAAACAGAACCTCAACGAGGAAATCTGCTTCTGGGTCAGCGGTGGCCACACAGCAGTGGTTCCAAAACGCCGTGTGCACCGGGTCACCTGGAGGGCTTCGGAAAACAGACCGCTGGGCCCACCCTGGAGTTTTAGTAGATCGGGGTGGGGGGCGCTCTGGAAGATAAATTTCTACCAGTTCTCGCTGATGCTTGATGCTGCTGGTCCGGCGACCGCACTTTGAGGACCGCCGACTAAGGCTAAGGCAGGTAGTGGTGAGTGATGGGGAATGACGAGTGGCCCCAAGAACAGAGGTCCTGTGTCTCACCTGGTCCAGCCCCAGCCCTGTCTGAGGAGACCACACTGTGGCCATGGAGACTGACAGGCGCCACCTCCACCAGCCTCTGCGCGAGGAAGGAGGTCCAGACAGCTGGGCAGTAGCTGAGGCCACACGGTGACTCAGCAGCCAAGCTGGCTGCCCACACCCTGCCCCCTGGCTCAGGACCTCTCTTGACCCTGCTTGGCCCTTTGAATGGCAGTAAGCAAAGTGCAGAGGCTGCCTGTGGGGACTTCTGAGTACTCGGGGTACTAGCAGCTGAATGTCTGAGGAGGAGGAGGAAGGCCAGGGAAGTCGCCGGAGTTGCCTCAAGCCTGGCAGGACACAGGGTGGGGTCAGGTCAGGGGCAGAGGGAGGTGGGAAGACCACCACCCATGTGTCCACCTCTCCAAAGCCCTGAGTGCAAGGCAGGCACCCAGGGGCCTGGGCCACCACGCCCCTCACCATTGGATGTTTCTCTTCCAGAAAATTACCTGCTCAAGAATGGCACCTCCGACGTGTTACTGTGTGGGAACAGCTCTGACGCCGGGTATGTGGCCCCCACCCCCAGGGCCCGCTCGCCCCGCGGGGAGTCTCCTGGTGCTTCCCGGCTGCTGTCAGTCCCTGCCCTTGACCCGGAGACAGCGAGGCCAGGCCCTGGCAGCGTCCCCAGCCCTCTGCCACTGCAGGGCAGGTCGCTGTGAGGGTGGAGAGAGGGAGGACAGAGCTGTGAGGGGTAAACAGAGCCCTGAAACAGGGCCAGGACTGGGGAGCCGCCCTGCAGGCCCTGCGGGGCCCCTACTACCTCAACCCCGGCTCCATTCCCTTCCGGTAGCCCTCCAGGGCTGCTCCTCCCGCTCGGTGTCCACGCCCGCCCTGCTGATCCAGCCATCGGTCCGAGTGAGGAGGGCCGCCCCCAGCAGCCTGACCGTGTGCCCAGCTTGCCCAGCGGTCATGTGCGCACCAGGGGGAGGGGACACACAGGCTCCCCTGGTGGGGGAGGTGCTCTGTGGGGCTCTGGTCCCGCATCTCTGAGTATGGACTTCCAGAGCCCTTCATGTCACTGAGAGATTGTGTCAGGGGCTGAGGACATTAGCAAGGCGCAGAGGCCCCTTGGCTGACCCTCCCCCTTGCGGAGACCCTGCCCCTTCTCCCTCGTGCTTGGCAAGCACGCATGAATCCACCCACTGCTCCCTCTTCGGGACAGGCTGCCCTCCAGCCCAGTGCACCTGAGTACACAGTTGTGCCCATGGACACGTCCTGTGGACATGGCCAGGCCCCAGCCCGTCCACCCCAGAATCCCTCCTCAACCCCGTGGCCCAGCCTGTGCCCCGGGCTCCGTCCTGTTCGGCTCAGCCAAGCCCCCTGCTCCCCTGTGTGCACTGTGCTCGCTCCCCGAGGGGTAGGCAGGCGGAGGGAGAGCTGTGAGCCGGGCCTCAGCACCTGCTCTGCGAGGGGAGAGCAACTCACAGCAGGGATGGTGTGTCTCTGGGCACGAGAGGCTGGATTTAAGCCTAGCGGAATACAGATGGGCAGAGAAAGGGGGAGACAGTGTCCCCGGCAGGAGGCGGCACGGCATGAAGTCGTGGAGGCAGGACCCAGCAGTGGGCACTCGGGTCATGAGGCTCACCCGGGCTGCCCAGGAAGATGAGCCAGGCCCGGCAAGGGTCTGGGGGCAGACGACCCCTCACAGCCCGAGACAGAGTCTGCATGTCTGGCTGCAGGACATGTCCTGAGGGCTACCGGTGCCTGAAAGCGGGCGAGAACCCTGACCACGGCTACACCAGCTTCGACTCCTTCGCCTGGGCCTTCCTCGCGCTCTTCCGCCTGATGACGCAGGACTGCTGGGAGCGCCTGTACCAGCAGGTGCGTGCGCGCCCGGCCGGCCGCGGGACCCCGGGAGCGGGCTCAGGACAGACCAGGGCCCCGGCTGCACCTGCCTGAAGTGGCCCAGCAGCTTCTCCACTGGCGAGAGCTCCTGCGGGTCCGGGGACGAGGGACCCTTGCATCTGAGGGCTGGGGGCTCAGCAAACAGAAACTTCCTTTTTTGCTGAGTTTCTTTTTGCTGATGACCAAGTACCCATCCCTTTGTATAGGACTCTGAGCTCCGTGAGTGGGACACTCCTCCACCCTATGTAGGTGCACCTCCTCTGTTGACTGTGACAATGTACCTCCCTCTATGGGTGGGACACCACCCCCTGTGTGTAGCTCATTTTCTGTAGGTTAGGATACGCCCCTGTATAGGGGGGACACTCTCTAGCCCCTCTCCAGGCTGTGGCCATTGAACAGGCACGTTCAGACGAGGCCAATTGGATAAACAATGACCGTGGCCCCAAAGAGGCCCCAGTGAGGATGACCTCTGCCCCCTTGCTCCTCCAGACCCTGAGGTCCGCAGGGAAGATCTACATGATCTTCTTCATGCTTGTCATCTTCCTGGGCTCCTTCTACCTGGTGAACCTGATCCTGGCTGTGGTCGCCATGGCCTACGAGGAGCAAAACCAAGCCACCATCGCTGAGACCGAGGAGAAGGAGAAACGATTCCAGGAGGCCATGGAGATGCTCAAGAAAGAGCAGGAGGTGGGTGGACGGTGCAGCCAAGGAGCCTCCAGGCCAGGCCCTCGCCGGACTATGGGTGCCTGTGAGCAGGTGCCTGCTGGGTGAGCGGGTGCCTGGAGGTGCGGTGCCTGGTAGATCAGTGTGGTGCCTGCTGGGTGAGCGGGTGCCTGGAGGTGCGGTGCCTGGTAGATCAGTGTGGTGCCTGCTGGGTGAGCGGGTGCCTGGAGGTGCGGTGCCTGTGAGCAGGTCCTGCTGGGTGAGCGGGTGCCTGGAGGTGCGGTGCCTGGTAGAGCAGTGTGGTGCCTGCTGGGTGAGCAGGTGCCTGGAGGTGCAGTGCCTGGTAGATCAGTGTGGTGCCTGCTGGGTGAGCAGGTGCCTGGAGGTGCGGTGCCTGGTAGATCAGTGTGGTGCCTGCTGGGTGAAGCTGCTGCCTGTGAGCAAGGTGCATTCTGGATAAAAGACCCACATGTCCATGGACATAGTTGTCCTGGTCAAGGGGTACCTTCTGGTGGGGCAGAGAGAAAGGGCCCAGGTTGGAGGCCTGAGCCAGCTCAGGAAAGAGCCGTAGACAAGCCTGTTGGAACCAGGCTGTGGATGTCTGCTTTCTCCTCACCACCCCATGCCGCCGCCCCCAGCACCCATTTGGCTGGCCGAACCTTCTAGAAGATCCTCTAATCTCTAGTTCTATCACTTCTGCTCATGAACACCCCTCCACCTGTTGGCCACACTGCCCTCTTCCAGGAGCTGCCCACATCAGCCACGACTGTCTGTCTCCCTGGACCCTGATCTTTCTCAAGACGCTCTGGGTTGACTGCGCTCATGTCTCCGTGATGCCTTGTTTGGGAGAAAGTGTGCAAGTCTGGCGGGAAAAGCCGAGCCACTGAGAGTTACCTGGTCGTCTTAGCCGGAGGCCGCGTGAAGTCTCAGTGACCTAGAAATCCCTTCTCCCCCCTCTTCCAGGCCCTCACCATCAGAGGTGTGGACACCGTGTCCCGCAGCTCATTGGAGATGTCCCCTTTGGCCCCCGTGACCACCCATGAGAAAAGGAGCAAGTGGAGAAAACGAATGTCTTCGGGGACCGAGGAGTATGGGGAGGACAGGCTCCCCAAGTCTGACTCGGAGGACGGCCCCAGAGCAATGGTAGTCCCCAGCCGTGACTCTGGTCCCTTAGGGTAGCTCTGGTATCAGAAGCCCTCCATGCTAGGCCCCTGGAGGTCACATCCCCGATGGTTGCCCCCCAAGGAGAGCATCCTTGAGCTCCTGCCAGCCCTTCTTGTTTCCCGAGTGGAGTAGCCCTGGGCAGTGGGATGGGGTAGGTCTGGGTGTTACAATATCTCCAATTTCAGCTAAGTTCCCACCTTGGGCTGGGCTGGGACACCCTCCATAGTGTACATTGGCAGGACGCCAAAGATGCGCATGGCCGCTTGGGCCAGGCCTGTCTACACTGCAGGAGCCCTCCTGCCTCCTCCCCCCTCACAGCCTTAGCCCCACCTTCATGCCCAGGTGAGCAAAGACCCCAGAAGATGCAGGATTGCTCCAGCCCTGCACCCCTTCCCTCAGCACCCCCGGCTCAGCCCACCCAGGCCGTGTAGCTGGCTCAGTGCGCCAAAGCCCCCAGTGCTCCGAGCCGCTGAGCTGGGGCCACACCCAGGAGACGGGCCGGGTGCCCTTGTGGGCTGTCTGGGTCATGTCCCCTCCCCCTGTGCCCTCAGAACCATCTCGGCCTCACCCCTGGCCTCAGCAGGACCTCCGTGAAGCCACACTCCAGGCGTGGGAGCCTTTTCACTTTCCGCCGCCGAGACACGGGTTCGGAGACGGATTTTGCTGATGACGAAAACAGCACAGCGGGGGACAGCGAGAGCCACCGCACGTCACTGCTGGCGCCCTGGCCCCTGCGCCGGCCTAGTGCCCAGGCACAGCCTGGTCCCGGCATGTCAGCTCCCAGCCACGCCCTCAATGGCAAAAGGAACAGCACTGTAGATTGCAATGGGGTGGTGTCCTTGCTGGAGGCAGGTGACCCTGAGGCCACCTCCCCAGGGAGCCACCTCCTCCGCCCTGTGATGCTGGAGCGACCCCCAGAAACGGTAAGCCAGCCCCACAATGCAGCACCAGGGCAGAGCTGGTGTCCCGACTCATCACCAGGGCCGCGCCCAAAAACACTTACCAAGTGTTTACTGAGCACCTAGTGTGCGGGGTTCTCGGGGTGCATTGTGATGATAAACAGGGTTGATAGTTAAGTAGCATCTGGTAAGGCCTACCGAGGTGGCACAGGACCAGTGTCCTGGGGGACCTGTGTGTGCCAGGTGTTAGCCCTGTAGACCTGCTGGATCCTGGGCAACCCAGCGGCTCCTGGGAGAAGGGTTGAGTGGCAAGAAGGTTCTAACCAGGTTTGGGGCAACAACTATTCACCAAATTTGAAATATTTCAGTACATTAGAAGTGGTGGCTCGATATTCGCCCAAGTAGTAAGTCCTGTGGGAGGACGGAAGCAGAGAAGAGGGAAAAGGAACCCCCACCGCTAGGAGGTGTTTACACAAAGACAGGAAGGAGGCAAGGGTGAGAGCCAGGCTGCTCTCTGAAACTCCGAGGGGTACGAGAGGAGAGTGGGGAGCACCCAGGTTCTGGAGACAAACTGGTTTATATCCGGTTTATCAGCTGGACGGCCATGGGAAAGTTACTTTAGTTCTCCATGTGTCTCTCATCTGTAACATGGATTAAAAATACCCATCTCAGGTTGCAAGAATGAATGGGCTAATATGGGTAAAGCAATTAGGAGATGCATGAATATATTGATGTTGTGATAACATCATAAGAACATACTGTCATTACATCATCTGGGGGAAGCATCTTCCAGGCCTAGAAAACAGCAAGTGCAAAGGCCCTGAGGCAGAAACAAGCCTAGTCTATTGGAGGAAATGCCATGAGGTCGGTGTGTCTGGAACCCAGGGAACAAAGAGGAGTGAGAGTTATTGTCAAGAGGTAACCAGGAGGGACAGGCCAGTCACGAAAGACGAGTTGGAGTTTTAATCTCTCGGTCAGCAGATCCCACGACAGGCTGATGCCTGCCCAATCAGCCGTGGAGTGTCTTGGCTGACCCCTGCCCCCCTAACAAAGTGCCCAGAGCAGCCCACCAGGCAAAGGGCAAACAGGTGGCTCAGACCCCCGTGCCTACAGGAAGATGCAGGGGGCAGACTTGCTGAGGAAGCCACAACAGGACAGGAAGCAGTCAGGTGGCGCTGAGGCTGAAGGAATGGCTGGGGCCTAACAGCCTGTTTTCTCATACCCTTGCTCTGGCTGTGAGCCAGCACAGGGTACTGCAGCTCTCTGGGCCTCCATCCCCTCGTCTGTAAAGGGAAAATAAAGTTCGTATCCACGGCAGCAGGGCGTGCTGAGGACTAAGAGTTAAAGCCTGCCCAGTGCTTAGACCAGGACTTGCCTCATGTCCCAGTAATTATTATTAGTAGTATCTGTTGTTGTAATTATTGAGCAGGAAGAAATGAAGACTGCTGGGGCACATGGCAGGGTGCCTGGGGCCCTCACACTCCTCCGAAGCAGAAAGCCAAGGACAAGGTGCTGGGAACCCACTGGGAGCCGGCAACAGCTTCTGGGTGGGTCCGGGGAGGCCTCTGGCCATCACCTGCAGGGTGGGGTCTCTGACTTCGCAGGAACCCCAAATCCCAAGGCCTGCAGACCCCCTTCGTGTCCAGCCCTAGAGCCTCAGCCTTGTGGAATCAGGTCGGCAGCCTGGAAGCTAATAGAATTTCCTAATCTCATTAGGGAGAAAATCATCTCGTTGTCGTGCACATGTAGGGAGGACTCCAAGTTCAAACACTTCATTACCGGGAACTCTGACTTCACCCGTTCTCACTTCTGTCGGGCCCATTTGTAACCTTAAAGGGATTAGCATGGCCGAGGGGGTCATTTGCAAAGTAAAAGGAATTAGTAAAACCAAGGCGGAGACATGGAGAAGTTAAAGAGATTAGCCGGCTGTAGGCCCCTGGGAATGCCTTCTTGGCTTCTACTTGGTTCCCAGTGAGATGTTTCTGCCCAGTTTTAGTCTCAAAACACAGCACAGTGTCAGGCGCACAGTGGGCGCTTACTCAACATGGGAGGGCGGGGAGGAAGGGCCACCCCAGCAGACAGCTCATGTTTAACTTATCCGGATTTGGAGTGGGAGGGCTGAAGATGTACTCTGTCCGCCACCTGCGTGGGAATCCCTGCCCCGGAAGTCCAGAGGGGCCGGGGCGGCACCCTGCACAGCCACTCACCGGACTCATCCTCCTTCCCTAGCAAGCGAAGGGCAGAGCCGGAACTCGAACCCAAGCCTCCTGATTCCCAGGGATGTGTCCAGTGCCCGCTGGCTGCCTTGAGTGCCCGGCCGTGTTTGCGGCCTCAGGGTTTTAGCAATGAACAAAGCAGACAAGAGCCCTGGCCTCGTGGAGGTTACACTGTAGTCAGGGAGACAGGTAGCGCACTGATCAATATTTCCAGGTAGCAACAAGGGTCGTGTTGTAGAAAGTTGCTAGGGGGAGGGTTGGCGGTGGGGGCTATCTGTTAGAATAATCGGGGAAGTCCTTCCAGCAGAGGTGACATTAAAATGGACAGGGTAATGATTGCAGGGAGCCAGCCACAAGGACCTGGGAGAGTAGTGTCTCAGGCAGCGGGGAAGCAAGTGCAAAGGCTCTGAAGAGACATGTTCAAGGGATGAGAGGGCCGGGCAAGACCAGGTGTGGTGGAACCTGCGGAAAGAGGAATGCGTTTGATGAGTCAGGATTTGGACCCTGCAGAGCCTTGTAGCTGATAGAAAAGTTTGGATTTACTCTGAATAAGATGGGGGGGATTGTTGATCAGAGGAATATCACATTCTGATTTTTAAAGGACTCCCTTTCTGCTGAGTAGAGGACAGAGGGAAGAGAAGAGGCCAGTTACAAGGCTCTTGTGGTGGTTTTAGGAAAGAAATGATGATGGCTTGCACTGGGACAGTGTATCAGTCAGCTAGTGCCACAATAATGCTGTGTAACAAACGGCCCCCAAAGTCCATGGCTAAAAACAAGTTTTTATTCTCATGCTCAAGTTTTTATGTCTGCAGGTTGATGGTGCTTTGGCTGGTCTAGGTTGGGCTCGGTTGGGCATCTCCACTTCAGACTTCACACTGGCCTGGCTCCACACTGTGGGTTAGACTCAGGCTGCTCCTCCTGTCGTTGTGCTGAGGCCCAGGCGAAGGAGTGGCAGCTCCCTAGGGAAGCTCTTTCCGTGGAGCATTTCGGGTGCTGGAGCACCGAGCAGGGCTAATGCACACATGTTCACAGCGTGTCCACTGACACTCCACTGGGCAACGCAAGCGAGTCGCCAATAGGACAGGGAAGCGGACTGACCCACAGTGGAAGGGGAAAGAGTAACTATGTGCCAAATGACAACTCGCAATATCACCGACAGTAAAGGAGGAGAAGAGAGGTTGGGAGAATTTAAGACAAGCTGGTGAGGTTAGCTGGCCAGTGGTACCTAGGGTACTACTGTTACACCAGCCACCTCAGCCCTCCCAGGTGCCTCTGCTTGAATACTTCCAATGACTGGGAGCTCACTACCTCCCTAGGCAACAATTCAGGGCGGTCCCACCAGTTGCAAAGGTTGATCTGAACTTGAGCCCAGATGGATTTGGATCCCACCCCAAACCCTGACTCTGCCACCTGGGATAGCCCAGGCCCATCTTCCCTGTGACCTATAGAGATGATAGAAGCTCGCTCTTGCATGCTGAACAGCCAGGAGCCCCCAGCGGCCCCGAGCAGGGGCTCAGACTGCCGTTATGTAGGGCTGTGCTGACGCGAAGCCTTTGTGGCCCCCGGTTCCGTGGGGAGTGCTAAGTAAGCCGAGAGGATGCAGCTGCCCCCTGCCTCCATCAGGACACAGCTCATTGCAGGCCTGATGCCCTCACTACAGAAGCGACGCGAGCACGTTGGAAACAGCCAGTGGTGCCGAAGTGCAAGGAGTCGGAGGGGACTTCCCCCCTTTCCCCTGCCCCGCAGGCCCATTCCCCAGATAGGCCGCTTCACCGGTTCCGGGTGCGCCTCCCAAGTCTTTTTCTTGTTTTCCCATCAAACTGTTTGTCCCGAAAGTGCTCCCAGGGGAACACGCATGGACCTGCCCCGTTCTCTTTATGGTCTGGATCAGAGTCCAGAGTCAGGTTGTACCCATAATTGGTTTTAAAATTCTTCCTATTGATTCATTGTTTTGTTCTTACAGTATCAGGAACAGTGCCGCAGTGAACGTCGTTGCGTGTATATTTTTGGTGCACGTGTATAATTATTTATGAAGGTAGATTACTAGAGGAGGAACTGCAGAGTCGGTTTACAATTTTCTTGGTACAAAGAGCCAAACTGACTCCGTGAAGCTCCCGCCAGCCACGCCGGAGCACAGTGCTCTCTGCTGCCCTCAATGTCACCTGAGAGCGTGGTAGATTCTTTTTTTTTAGCTTCTTTATGCTCTTGACTCTAGGGAGCTTGTGGTCAATTAAGGCTCCCAGATCATTTGTGCATGGACGAACGTGTACGACAGCATCCGGTTAATAGAACTTGGTCATGTAGTTCCTGTCCACACTCAAGAATCACCACTGCTGCCCTGGCCGGTTTGGCTCAGCGGTTAGAGCGTCGGCCTGCGGTCCAGAGAGACCCAGGTTCGGGTCCCGCTAAGGGCACATACTTTGGTTGCAGTTTGTCCCCGGCCCTGGTTGGGTCGTGCGAGTAGCAACCACTTGATGTGTCCCTTTCACATCAATGTTTCTCTCTCTCTCTCTCTCCCTCCCACTCTATCTGAACAAAAAATGGGGGAAAAAAAGTCCTCTGGTGAGGATAAAAAAAAAAAAAGAATTACCACTGCTGAGATGGTGAAGAACAGAATGAAGGAGATAATGATTGGGGGGGAGGGGTTGTTAACTGGGAGGAAGGGAGGAGCAGAGAAGCCCAGCACCCTGTGTCCCATCAAGACCCCCATCCTGTCTTCCGGTGACCTCCCCACCCGAGTCTGGGCCAGCTGCCCCAGGTCCAGCAGCTGCCCCAGGCCCAGCAGCTGCCCCAGGTCCAGCAGACACCTGTCCCCAGGCTGACGCATATGTCCTGGTTGTACGCAGACAACTCCGTCGGAGGAGCCGGGCAGGCCCCAGATGCTGACCCGCCAGGCCCCGTGCGTGGACGGCATCGAGGGGCCAGAGCGGCAGCGGGCCCTCAGCGCAGTCAGTGTCCTCACCAGCGCGCTGGAAGGTCAGCACCCCGGTGTCATCCACGCACTGCCCACGTGTAGTCTAGGCACGCTCGTCGTCGTCCTGACCTGAGCCAGGCGTCCCAGCTGCTGGCCGGCCCTGGACCTCCCACGGCTGTTCCAGGCTTTTCAGTCTGTGTGCCTTGTCCACGGTGGCTTTTCCTTTTTTGTCAGCTTGTTCTTTCCGGGGCATTCTCGGGGGGCATGCATGTTTCTTCCAAACATCCCTGCAAGTGTCCTGGCCTGTTCCAGGTGCTTATCAGTCTCCGAGCACCTCCATGTCTGCCTGCGCCATCCTGTCCCAAGCACGCCTGCCCTAACCCCATCCCCGTCATTCCCACGCCAACCACAGGCTTCTCCAGGCATCCCCCCTCGGCCGCCCACGTCCAGTCCAGTCTGCACCTGGAACCCCTCTTGTTTCCTCCTGTCCCATAGGTGTTCACATTTTTCCAGCCTGTCCCAGGCCCCACCCCGACCTGTCCTAGCACCGCCCAGATGTCCACGTCTTTTCCTGTCCCATCTATCCTGAGTGTCCTTCCTATCTGAACCTGCCTGTCTGAAATGTTTTCTCCTTTTCAGTCTGTCCTCCCCTGACTGTCCCCAGGTCTGTGCGGGACTGTTTTCTGAAAGAGCCTACTCACCTGTCCTGTCCCAGTTCTCCCCACACCCACCCTGGCCTCTGGCCCTGTGGCCCCCTCTCTCATCTCCAGGCAGGGAGTCAGGACACAGGCCACCCTTCCTGCTCCCTGCCCCTTCCGCCACGCCCTGCATGCACAGCCCTGCATGTCCCCGCTGAGGCAGACGTCTTTCCGGACTCCCACGAGTTAGGTACGAATCAGTCGACAAACGCAAACCCGCTCGTTGGCTGTCCCCCCAGAGCTGGAGGAGTCTCACCGCAAGTGTCCGCCATGCTGGAATCACTTCGCCCAGCACTACCTGATCTGGGAGTGCTGCCCACTGTGGATGTCCATCAAGCAGAAGGTGAAGGTCATGGTCATGGACCCGTTTGCCGACCTCACCATCACCATGTGCATCGTCCTCAACACGCTCTTCATGGCGCTGGAACATTACGACATGACAGCTGAGTTCGAGGAGATGCTGCAGGTCGGGAACCTGGTAAGGCATCCTGGCTGAAGGGTTCTCGGCCAGCCGTCCTGGCCTTCGTGGGTCAGGGAGGACAGGGCCCAAGCGCAGAGGGAGCTCCCAAGGGTGGGCGTCATCGCGGAGGACTTTTCGAAGTAGGGAGTTTCAGGATCCGCTTTTAAGGAACTGAGATGTAGTTAGGAGAGAGAGGTTGGGGATACAGGTTAATGAAGATGCCCAGAGGCTAGAAAGCAAAAGGGAGTTGGGGTTGGGCCTGAAATGTGTGGGGACGTGAGATTTGGCAACAGTAGATGGAGGAGGGGCGTGTATGCCAGAGCTTCCGTAGGTGAACACCAGTGTTTGCTGGATGGAGGACAGGATGGGTGGATTGTTGGACAGAGAGCAGGAGGGAGAGGGGGGGAGGGAGGGATGGTAGGTGGGTAGCTGGGTACAGTGAGTGATTAAGCAGAGCCAGATTTGAACTCTGACTCAGCCCTTACTAACCATATGTGACCTCAAGCAAATCACTTAGGCTCAGTAATTGGCACAAAACATATTTGTTGAATTTAATAAATGCAAAATTAGTATGACAATATCAGCCTCATAGGAAGCTAATGAGGACTGAATAAGATAATATGTGTAATGTACTTGGCTCAGAGTTTGATAAGCAATAAGCACTAAAGATAAATGATAGCTGTGGTTACTATTGTTGTTCTTAAAGAGGCTGTCCCTGGAAGCCAGAATGTCTGGGTTCTAATTCTGATTTTTTTCTCTTGAGATTAAATCAAGTCCTACCTCTTCACTATAAAGTGGGAAACTGAGGCCTGAGAGGTGACACGGTGACAGAGCTAGGCATGTAGCTACTGTGTCCTGACTCTGGGTGACAGAGCCCGATTGTCTCTGTCCAGATAAACAGAGTCAGCCCTTCCCCATGGGATCCTCAGGCAAGGCTGGCAGAGACCCCGAGGCCTCCAGAAGGAGCTCCTGGGATCATCCCCGAGTTTGGGGAGAGGAAGGGGAGTCATTGGATCTACCTCTCTCTTACTCGACCCAGCCCTGCCTTGTCCAGCTGCACGGACGCCCGCCCCAACCAGGCAGGCAGGTCTCCCACCCCTGAGGGTGTGAAGATTGTCTTCGGTCATTACTGCCCTTATCCAGGACTCTAGGTGGTTCTCTACAGGACCTCTCCAAATCCTTCCACGAATGTGAGTCCACTGCCGTCACTCCGCTTTTAGACGTGACAGAAGGGAGAGTTGTACCTCGGTCTGTGGGGCTCCCTGTGTGGGGCCTCGGGTGGGGCTTACGGAGACAGGGCAGCTCTTCCCCAGTTAGCCTAGATATGTAACGTAATTCCGATCAAATCTTAACACATTTTTTAAATGGGAATTGAAAAGGAAATACTGAAATTCATATGGAAAAGTAAAGTCTGTCAAGATAAATTAGGACTACGGTGGGGCATTTACCCTACATGTATTAAGATATATTATAAGTGCCCTGGCCGGTTTGGCTCAGCGGTTAGAGCGTCGGCCTGCGGTCCCGAGAGACCCGGGTTCGGTTCCCGCTAAGGGCATGTACCTCGGTTGCAGTTTGTCCCCGGCCCTGGTTGGTCGTGCGGGTGGCAGCCACTCGATGTGTCCCTTTCACATCGATGTTTCTCTCTCTCTTCCTCTCTCCCCCTCCCACTCTACCTGAACAAAAAATGCAAAGATGTCCTCAGGTGAGGATAAAAAAAAAAAAAGATATATTATAAGTAATGAAAACACTATGGTGTTGGTGCAAAGACGAAAATTGGACCAGTGCTGCAGAATCGAGAACTTAGAAATGGGAAATAGTATTGGGAGACTTGATAAATAACAGAGATGGCATTATAAATCAGTAGGAAAATGATAGACTACTTGATAATAAATAATGTTGGGCAGAATGGTTACCTATAGGGAAGAAAATACTTTTAGATCCCTGCCCCACACCATACTCGTTCATTAGTTGTGGGGAATTGGATCCAATACCTAAATGTGATCAAGTAAAATGTTTAAGCTTTTAGAACAAAAGTGAGCAAAATATCTTGAGGTTGGGAAGGCTTTCTTCAACAACATAAAGAGTTTAAACCATGGAAGAAAACTAACAAGTTTACTTATATTAATATGTAAAATCCCCATGAAATGAATAAAGGACACGGTAAAACAAAGTGAAATCACTGCCATAAACTAGAAGTTGATCCCGTGAAAAGTATTCAGCTGGAAAGACGTGGAAACCAGAAATGACAGGCAGATCACGAAGGGGAAGCCCAGATGATTATAAACGAATGAAAAGAAACAGAGGAATGCAAATTGGAGCGACACCAAGATACTATTTCTCACCCCTAAGCCAATCAAAAACAAATGTCCGTGTGTTGACGAGAGTGTGAAACAGGGAGAACTCACGTGTGAGAGCGTGGATTTGGCACAGCCATCACAGGGAGCTGCTGTGCAGTCAGGTAAATCACAGATGCGCATACCCTGTAACTTAACAATTTCATGTATATTCTTTAGAGAGTCTCACAGGTCTGTAGAAGGAGACACATACAAGAAAGTTCTTTGCAGCATTGGTAGGTGTAGGGAAAATTGGAATCAACATAAATGTCCAATGATCCATTAAAAAATAGATAAGTCAATTATGGTGTATTCATACAATGAAAACTGTCCACAGTGAGAATGAATACATATACATGTATCCATAGGGATAGATCTCATAACCATGATGTTTAAAATAAAAGGAATGTGCAAACAAGAACACGTACATCACGATCAAAATTTATTCTGCTCCAAATAATGCAAAGAGACTATATACTGTTGTCACATATATTGAAACTATAAAAAAAATGCATGGAAAAACTATACATCAAGTTCAGGATGGAGTGGCTTCGGTTTCACCTGTGGTGGCACAGGGTTAAGACTTCGAGGCAGAAGCTGAAGTACTTAGGTTTAACGTCAGCTCCATCCTTTGGGCCGGTGGGCGAACCTCTCTGTAGTGACGCACTTTCCCTGGTTGTGAAATGAGGGCAACACCTGTCTCCTCGGGTCATTGTGATGACTAAGCGACTCAATGGGTGGAGAGCACCAGTAGTACTGTGCCTGGCATCTAGTAAATGCTACTTAAGTCTTTGCTATTATCTGGTAAGGAAAACTCAAACAAGATTTGAACTAAATATAGCAAAATGTTAATAGTGGGCAGAGTTCATGGTAGATACAAAGGTGTTCATTATATTAGTCTATGCTTCTCCGATGCTTAAGGTATTTAGTCATTTTAGGAAATACAGTGACAAAGGTGAATGACAAAGCAGGAAAATGGTTGCAATACATACAGTAGGCAAAGAGATTTAAACCCTAAATATATGAAGTATATTTATAAGCAACAATAAAAAAGGAAAATAACCTAATAGAAAAAATAAGCAAAGGATAGAACAGACAATATCATAGAAGAAGAAATACAAAAATCAAAGGATCGTTCAGTAAAACAACAGTGCGACCTGCCTCAGCCCTGCATGAGCGTGGGTGTAGGGAAACACGCGTGGAGTTAGTTAACAGCTCTCTCGGCGGCTCATCCAGCAGTATATGTCAGCGTCGGCACAGTGGAGCCCACAACTGCTCAAAAAGAAAGAAGGAAAAAGAAAAAAAGAAGCTGTAGGTCCTATTTAGTTGGCATGGAAGGATCACTCACAGCATGGCATGCTTTCAAACTCAAGTTTACAGTGTGGACAGACACATGCACGGTTCCCCAAAGTCCACCCCCTGCCTGGGCAGCCGCCATCAGCACCGTGGTTCCGTGGGCTGTCTGCCGGCAGCCAGGGGAAGCGGGTCCCCAGGCTCACAGCTGTCTGCCAGGTCCCAGTGACCCTATAAATCTCGCCGTGTTTGTGTCTGGAGTCAGCCCTGCCTGGGCCTGGAGCTGTCGGCCGCTCTGCCCAGTCATAACCAACGCCGCCGGTGATAACAACGATCGCCCACTCGCGGGAGCACCCACTTTACGTCCATTAGCTCTGACTCTCGGAAACCTCCTGTGGAGTTTTGTTGTTATCCCCATCTGACGTGGGAAGGCACTCGAGGCTCAGAGCGATGAGGAAACGGGCCCAGTCACACAGTGGCACACTGGGCTTGGGGACCGGGTCTGGCTGCCTTTCTCTGCTCACCCTGAACCATTCGGCGCAGATCAGTGGCCTCAGAAAGCCTAGGGGGGTCCTTTGGAAGGAGGAGATCTGATACAAAATCCATGTTCTTCTAAAGCAGAGGTTCTCAAGCTTAGCCACACATTAGAATCACCCAGGAAGTCTCTCTAAATCTCCGTATCTGGGCTGTACTCCAGTCCAATTCAGCTCCGTGGCTGGGGGTAGGACCCAGGCATCAGTACTATTAAAACTCCCTAGGTGATTCCAAAGTGCACCAAGTTTGAGAACCAGTGTTTAAAAATTGCATTTCTCAAACTTCAAATCTCCTGGAATCCGGTCAAAATGTAGATTCCGCTTCCACAGGCCTGGAGGCTTCCAGACCCTGCATTCCCCAGGGGCTCCCAGGTGACGCCCGTGGTCCTTTGCTTATCCCCTCCCCAAAGGCGTTCCCCACGGGCTTCGCTTTTTCTCTCCTGACTTCCAGAGCCACCTAATATCAGCACTTGCTGCTAAATAGCTGTGAGCCTGCGAATGAGGCAGGAGCTCCTTCCCCAGCTCCTCTCCCGCAGTGAGCTCAGCACCCGGAGCCTGTCAGGCGGGCCCCAGGAGCACACAGGAAGGGGCTGGCACTGTTTTCCAGTGAGCCAGGAAAGGTCCCTCCTGCTGTGGAGCTGCAGTCTATCCCAGAGGAGACTCCACAAACAACACATAGCTACGCACACAGGATGTCAGACGGGGGCATGCGAGCGAAGGAAAATAAAACAAGGAAGAGGAATGCGGAGTGTGGCAGGAGGGGCCACGATGCTAAGGGCCAGGGAGCCTCGCTTAGTAGGTGGCTTTTAAGCAGAGACTTGAAGGGAGTGAGTCCTGTGGAGGGGGGAGGGGGCGATTCAGGGAAACAGCAGCAAGTGCAAAGGCCCTGAGGAGGAAACGAGGAGGTCAGATGGCTAGAAGAGTAGCAGGAGATGGGTCAGAGCATGAAAAAGTTACGGGTACCGAACCCGGAAGGGGGCTTGGGTGCTGGGAGGGGACAGAGCCCAAGGGTGCCTCTTCCTCTGTTAGGGCAGCTCAGGAATTTGAGCTGAGGCGGGAGGATTTCGGGGACTCTCCCTCCCTCAAGACCCCAGCCCGGGGAGGAACAGTTTCCTCTGGCACAAGCACTAAAAAGACCACCAAAGTCATGAGGCTGGGCGGGTGTGTGGTGCCCTGTGTAACACGGCAAGGGTGCCCACCCCCTGCCATCCTGGGCCAACAGCAGTCCCCTGCCGACCACCACGGGGACTCATCTGAGCAGAGTGGGAAAGGGCTGGCACTAGGGCGACCGACAGATGCCTCTCTTCCAGCGCAGATCCCCTCGGGAGATGCCAGTGGCAAGGTGACCCCCGTCTGGTTGCTGACCCCAGCCATGGCCATGTCTCTCACCTCTACCCTTCCCCCCACAGCTGCTGCAGGTCAGACACTCTCCCTAGGGGTAGCCTGGCCCTCTGAGCTCAGCCCTCCTGCAGAAGACCTCAGTGCCTCCCCCAGCCCTCAGGATAAGCCCCAGCCCCTCCACATGGCCCAGAAGGCCTTGTGAACACTCTGACTTCCCTCCAGCCACACACTTACGGGACAGCCCCTCCTCTTGGAACCATGTTCCCGTTGAAGCAACATCGCAGGGTAGGCACACCTCGGGGCAGTTGGCCATGTTCATGCTTCCTGGCGCACCACAGGATGGGCTCCTTGACCATGGGTCTCTGCTGACCAAGGTTGGGCAGCTCAGCCTCTGCCCACCTCGGGAGTGTCTCCAGAAAGGAGAGGTGGTGGCTCTAAATCTTGAAGGACAGCACTGAGTTCATCTCTGGTTCCCAAACTTACCAGCTACATGACCCAAGAGAAGTCACCTGACCTCTCTTACCTGTAAAATGGGGGCAATGATACCTTCCTTGTCAGATTGTTGGACAGATGAAAAGGAACAACATATGCAAAGCATTCCAGCCCAGCTCTGAGGACATAGTCAGGCCCTCAAGAAACGGTGGCCAGTTCTTCCAGCGAGAAGAGTCAGCGAGTGGACGAGGAGGGAGCGGGCACCGCATGGACGAGGGTCTGGAGCCACAGGGTTGTGGGAATGCATATATTTGTCACGTGTGGAGTGAGGGTGCGGCCCGTGGCGTCCCTCACTGGAAGGAGTCCGGGGTCCCCTGCCCACAGGTGTTAGACCAAGCCTTCTGCAGAGCCCTCGCTGGCCCAGCTCCTTTCGAAGGACAGGGCGGCAGGTCAGGCTTGGTGAGCAGCAGAGAGGGCTGGGACATGAGGCCAGAGGTGTGCCTAAGGGGCCAGACCATGGCCAGGCAAGCCCCCCCGGAAGCCTGGGTGCAGTCAGAGCTGGCAGCCCAGAGGGGAGACTATGCTGGAGCAAGTGTCAGGAGGCAGGGTCCAGAGAGCCAGAGGGTCTTTCCAGCCCAAACACGGGGAACCCCTATCTCCCGCTCCTTCCCCAGGTCTTTACAGGGATCTTCACAGCAGAGATGACCTTCAAAATCATCGCCCTCGACCCCTACTACTACTTCCAGCAGGGCTGGAACATCTTCGACAGCATCATCGTCATCCTCAGCCTCATGGAGCTGGGCCTGTCCCGCATGGGCAACCTGTCAGTGCTGCGCTCCTTCCGCCTGGTACCCAGCTGGGCCCCCTGGGGGGGGGGGTCCGGGGCACCGAAGCACACCCCCCTTCGAGGTCACCACTTAGTCACCCCAACTCTGAGCCATCCTGCCTCCACCCATCAGCTATTGGCTAGACACCCCTGGGTTCCAGGCCCAGAGCTGGTGATGGGGTGGCGGGTGCAGAGGTGGAGATACCCCTTAGAGGAGCAGTCGGGGTGGCCATCCTGATGACTTGCAAAGCCCTTCATGATTCGCGTGACCCTTTTAGTCCTCACAGCATCCCGGGAGGGGGCTGGTATTACTGTATCCCCATTGCACAGATGAGGAGACTAAGACTTAGAGAGGTTGTCACCCTGGGTAGCTGCGGTGGGAGTTCCTGCTGTCCTGTCTTGAGGGACCCAGGCCTTTTCTTCCAGGACCACCTCTCTGTCAAAGCACGTGCATCTCGCCGTGTGTCTTTACAACGTGGGGAATATCAGAGTGAGAGAGATCAAATTCTGAATGCTAAAGCAGGGCCCTTTGAAGAGGCAAGGTGGAGGAAGTCAGCGGTTCAGGGGAAGTCAGACAACTTCCCAAAGCCACATGGCAAGTACCAGGGGGAGCCAGGCCTGCTGACAGTTCACTGGGGTTCCGCCTGCTGGTTCCAGACTCTGCATTCTGGAAACCAATGCACACCCAAATCACCTGCAGATCTTGGTAAACCACAGATGACGGTTCAGTAAGTCTCAGCTGATGCCAGAGCTCCTGGTCCGTGGACCGTGCTTTAAGCTCAGAATACCTGAGAGGTCCAGACATGGGCTAGAGGTCGGCAGGAAAGGCTTCCCGAAGGAGACCTGAGCGCTCTTGGCTCAGGAAGGCAGGCTGGTGGGAGCAGCAGAGAAAGCCGAGACCGCGAGTTCTAATCCCAGCTCCTCTGCCAGGAGCCAAGGGACTTAGACAAGTTACTCTACCTTTAAGGGTTGGCTTCTTCATCTGTCAAAGGAGGTCATAAGAATGCCAATTTCATGTGGTTATTGGGAGTTCTGAATGAGTTGATTCCTCCTAGCTCATGGTCTGACGCAGTTGGTATTCAATAAATGCTAAGCACTGGCTTCCTTTCTCTGTTATAACTAAGAGGAGAGCCCTGACCAGTTTGGCTCAGCGGTTAGAGCGTCAGCCTGCGGTCCAGAGAGACCCGGGTTCGGTTCCCGCTAAGGGCACGTACCTCGGTTGCAGTTTGTCCCCGGCCCTGGTTGGGTCGTGCGGGTGGCAACCACTCGATGTGTCCCTTTCACATCAATGTTTCTCTCTCTCTCTCTCCCTCCCACTCTATCTGAACAAAAAATGGAAAAAAAAAAAATGTCCTCGGGTGAGGATAAAAAAAAAAAAAGAGAGAGGAAAATGGAGGTGAGCGGGCAAGTCAGAGAGTCTGAGCTGACCTGGAAGGGTATCTGATGAAGGGTCAGGCAGAAGGACATTCCATGTTGAGCAAATCTAAGAAGCTCCTGGAAGTGAGACCAAGGGGAGTAGGAGGCTGGCGTGAGGACAAAGAGAAGGGCTAAGTGGGGGAGATGAGGCTGAAGCTGTTGACCTGACTCCTAGAACAGAGCCTGCTGAAGCCACCTTCAGGCTGTGGAAAGAAACAGTAATATGTGCTCTTGGAAAAACCCAGAGGAACAGGTGTCAGTGACTTTCAAGGGCCCACTGGGTTTTCAGGCAAGAGCTGGAGGGGTGAGGTAAGACTGTCCCTGGGCAGTAGAAGCCAGAGCCTATCACAAGGACCCCTCCCTCTCTAGCTGCGGGTCTTCAAGCTGGCCAAATCATGGCCCACCCTGAACACACTCATCAAGATCATCGGGAACTCAGTGGGGGCACTGGGGAACCTGACGCTTGTGCTGGCCATCATCGTGTTCATCTTCGCTGTGGTGGGCATGCAGCTCTTTGGCAAGAACTACTCAGAGCTGAGGTACCGCATCAGTGACTCAGGCCTGCCCCGCTGGCACATGATGGACTTCTTCCATGCCTTTCTCATCATCTTCCGCATCCTCTGTGGCGAGTGGATCGAGACCATGTGGGACTGCATGGAGGTGTCTGGGCAGTCACTGTGCCTGCTGGTCTTCTTGCTTGTTATGGTCATTGGCAACCTTGTGGTAAGTTGGCCAATGGCCTCACACACACACATTCATCTACTCATCCGTTCATCCACCAGCTGCCCATTCACCTAATCATCAATCTCTTCATTTACTTGCCTGTTCTTCCATCCATCCACTCATTCATTCAGCCATCTGTCTGTCAAACCAGCCATTCACCCATCAATCTCTCATCTATCCATCTATTTACCCATCCATCCATTCATCTACTCATTTACTCATCCTTCCATCTATCTACTCATCCATCCATTCATCTACCTCCAATGTACCCACTTAGCCTTTTCATCATTTCATCCATTCCCTTACCATTTATTCTTCTCTCTCTATTCATCCAAACATCTACCTGTTCAGCCATCCATCCACTCATAGATTACCCACCAACTCACCCATCCACCTGTCCACCTCTCCATTAATCTATCTACTCAGTTACAAAACTGTATATCCATTTATTCATTTGCTCACACAGCCATCCATCCATCAATCCTCATCTACTCATTCACTTTCTATCAGTCTATTCATTCATCGCCCAACCATTTATCTATACACCAGCCACCCTGATCCATTCCATCACCCCATTCATTCATACATAAGTACCTACTTATCCACTCATTTATCTACCCACCCATTCACTTGCATACCCACCCATTCATCCATTCATCTAGCACCCATCTTTCCACTTATTCATGTATTTCTCCACTCATTCATCCACCCACATCCATCTGTCAACCCACTCATTCATTCACTCACCAGTTCCATTCATCTATTCATTTATCCATCCACCTGTCTGCTCACTCACTTATTGACCCCCCCCTTCATATCACTCATCTGTTCATTCATTAATTCACCCACTTATTTGCCTGCTTATTCATTATTTACTCATTTTATATTCACCAATTTCTTTACTCATCTACCCATTATTTTATTAGTCATTCACTGGCAATTATTTATCACATGGTTTTTCAATTCAACTTAACAGACATTTGCTGAGCCCTGTTGCATGCAAAATATTGTACCAGACACTGTTGGGCATACAGAGGTGACTAGCCTCGACGTGGCTCACCAGCCTGGAAGTGGGGAGTTCAAAAAGGCATGCGATAACTCTCAAACTGGTCAGAATGATCAGAGCCATTAACGGGAGCTCGTGGGTGCTGAGTCCCTCCAACTAGAAATCAAGGAAGGCTTCCTGGAGGAGCATTTAGAGACCTGATCAGACAGGTGATGCCAGAGAGGAAAGGAGCAGGGTGAGCAAAACACAGGTGCAAGTAGGTTGTGGTCCAGGTGAGCAGGGGCCTGTGAAAGCCGTATGTGTCCCCTGGGGAGCTGTGGAGGGAGTCCTGCTGTCCTGTCGGGAGGGACCCAGACCACTGCTTCCAGGCCCACCTGTCCGTTAAGGGCCAGTGCAATGTGCCTTTACAATGTGGGAAATTCCGGAGCTGAGAGAGATCAATATTTACATGCCAAAGAAGGGCCTTTGGAAAAGTCAAGGTTGAGGCAAGGCAGTGGTTCAGGGAGAAGTCGGTGTCCACAGTGGACATGGAGCCACCTTCCTGGGTATACAGGTGGCCCACATGCTCAGACATCACACTTGTATGGCCTGGCTCCCAAGAGTGCGGGCCGCCGAGGGGCACACCGGCTCATGGAGGGGTGTTAGGTGGTGAGAGTACTGTGGACTGCAGATTCTAGCACCCTTCCCCAGACCGGCCTGTTTTCTCCTCCATGTGCCTTAACCAGGCCAGGGCAGGCCCAGGCCGCGGTGGGGTCAGCCTCCCTCAGCTCCCCCGGTGGAGGAGCCCAGAGCGGAAGCAGGGCTTCTGCGCACAGAGCTACTGGAACCCAGCTCTTTGGCTGGCCTCACAACCCCCTTCCAGCTCCTCAAATCGGCTGCCCACCAGCCCCTGGCCGAGCCCTGGGGCCACCAGACTCTGGGTTCCGAGGAGGGTGCAAGGGCACAGGGCCCTCAGCCCGGGGCCAGGCCCAGCTGTCCTCACACGCAGCCCTGCTTCCAAGCGGATCTGTCTGGGACGAGAAGATTAGAGGCTGCTGGGGGAGGGAAGCATCGGCCCACGCAGCCCCCCTCCCCTGCCCTGGCTGCCTCAGGAATTGGGCTGCTGCCGGGCGTGGGAGGAAGCAATTGCCATTAAAATGGGAAGTGATGATCAGGCAGGGGCTGCGGAACAGCAGCGTGATTGACAGGGAAAGCGCTGGAAGAAGACAAACTTCTGAAGCTGGTGACAAGGGAGGCCCGAGTGTCCTGTGTGGGTAGATGAGGCCAACCAGGTGCCCCTGCCCTGCCCCAGCCTCGGCCCCAGACGCCTGGAGTCGGGGAGGTGGGCCAGGTGTGGGGGAGGGCAGTGGGGGAGGATGCAGGTGGGCAACCAGGAAGAGGCAGGCCAGGCCAGAGTGCAGACAGCGGCTCTGAATCATACCACATGGCCCCCAGCGACCACAAAAGAGCTGCCAGGTGTCAACTGTGATCGTTTCTCCATAGAAATAGGATCCGAAAGTCCTGCTTCTTAACCCTTCCATACTGTCCGCGTGCATGTGTGCTGCTCTTTAAACCAAAGGCCAGTTTCTGAGGCCTGCACTCCGACCTTACCCACTGCTTTCGGCCCAATGCTCCTGCCCAGCTTGCGACAGGTGTGTCTGAGCGCGGTCAGAGCCAGAGCGCATTTCCAGTGAGAACTGTGCACCCCCCTCCACACCACCCTGCTGTAGGGGCCCCATTCAACCCAACTCCCTTCTGGGAGGAGGAGACTCCATGCCCAATGCGGCGGGTGTCTCTGGCGTGTTGGTGATGCTCTGAGCCGGTCTGACCCATGTGGGAAGGAGCCCAGCACCATCTTCACTGAACCCTCAGGAGACTGGGAGATGGAACTAAGCCCCTTGTCACTCAGCAGAAGTTTTCGTTTTTAACAAAAGCTGCCACGTCACACTTGCAAGATGGTTTACCCAGGAGTAATCCAGACTTCTCGAAGACAGAGGGATTATTGGGGGTCCGTGGGGGGTATCTGTAATACTCTCAACAATAATATACATTTTAAAAAGGACAGAGGGATTATGCAAACCTCCCCAAGGGGTCTCAAAGCCTTAACCCCTAGTCGATGCCTTCTAGCCTGTCTGAGACCTCGGCCCCTCCCCTGACTCCCTGAAACACTGTGGCCTTGGATCCAGGCTGGCCCTTGGCACCAGCCCCACGTCCCTTCACCCTGTTCCAGTTGTCTGGTCCCACACAGCACCCATCCACGTCCCCTCACCACCTGGCCACAACCACGGCTCAGTAGCCCGGCCCGGCAGTGAGTCCCAGATGCCTGAGCACGTCTGCCTGGGCTCTTGTCCGGCCCTTGCCCCTCTGTGCTCAGGGCGCCCTGGGGCTCACCTGGAAAGCGCAGTCAGATCTGGAGACACAGGCTGCTTTCTCCTCCCGCCTGCCTTACCCAGGCCCGGGCAGCCCAGGCCGGGTGGGGTCAGCACCCTCAGGCCCACAGCAGGAGCCCCAGATGTTTGAGTGGTAAGCCGGCCTCAGTGGGAAACTCAGGCACAGCACCACCCCTCCCCAGGAAAGCCCCACCCTCTCTGGGTGGGGTTCTGTCTTGTCCCCGGTGACCCCCAAGAGCAGCCCGTGCTCACCCTGACCCCACTGACCCGGTGACTCCCATGGCAGAAGGCCCCATCTGAAGGCTTTGACACTGGATGACCCGTGATCCTCCTGTTGAACCTGGGCCAGGACACAAAAGGCCTGGGTCTGTGTGTCGCCACAGCTCACGCTGAGACCTTGGCAGGAAGGGTTAGGTGTCTTTCCTCCCACAGCCAGACTCTCTATTCAGGGGAATGGGGGTTAGGGCCAGGGCCCAGGTTCCGACTAGGGCTGTTTGCCTGCGGCTGTCCTTCAGGTCCATGGGCCTCAGTTTCCCCATCATGGACCCAGGCTGAGCACCTGTGGCGTGAGCCTGCCCCGTTGTCCCCACAGGTCCTGAACCTCTTCCTAGCCTTGCTGCTCAGCTCCTTCAGTGCAGACAACCTCACGGCCCCGGACGAGGACGGGGAGATGAACAACTTGCAGCTGGCCCTGGCGCGGATCCAGCGGGGCCTGCGCTTCGTCAAGCGGACCACCTGGGACTTCTGCTGTGGGCTCCTGCAGCGGCCCCAGAAGCCCGCCGCCCTGGCCGCCCGGGGCCAGCTGCCCAGCTGCATCGCCACCTCCAGCCCCCCGCCGCCCGCAGAGGCAGAGCAGGCAGCTCCGGCCCGCAAGGAGACACGGTTCGAGGAAGGCAGTCGGCCGGGCCAGGGCACCCCTGGGGATCCCGAGCCCGTGTGTGTGCCCATTGCCGTGGCTGAGTCAGACACAGATGACCAGGAGGAGGACGAGGAGAATAGCCTGGGCACAGAGGAGGAGTCCAGCAAGCAGGTGAGCGCCCCACCCCCTTCCCCGACTCGTGTGCGGCACCTACTGCTGTGGGGCTCAGGGCCCTGCTGCCCAGGGCACCCCGCCTCACTCAGAGCAGCAGCCCCCGCCAGACGGCCACAGCAGTCCCCCAGCTGACAGAAGCTGAGACCAGCGCCCCACCCGGCCCAGGACAGGATCCATGATCTAACCCCTGGCTGGTCATGGGCAGCTATTTGTATAGGAAGGGAAACTGAGGCACAGCAAGAGAAGCTTGCTAGGAGATGCTCATGCATCTGCGACAGCCAGGACGCCTGGCCCCTGACCCCACTCTGACCATTGTCCCCCTCCAGGACGACCAAGGACGAATGTCTTAGTGCGGGAAGAGTGTAGTCTCCTGACCTCTGACTGCCCCTTCCCCTCCTCCCAGGCCCAGGGCTAATTCTGAGATTTAAAAATAAGCCTCCCGAAGATGGCAGGTGTCAGAGACAACACTATCTTATCTCCCAACCTGTTATTTTTAACACTTCGGACCAGAGTCCGGACCAAAGAGACAGTCCCTCCTGCCGCTCCCTCAGCTTCCCCGTGGCCCGAGCCAGGCTCAGAGGCTTCTTCTTGGTCTTTAGGTCCAGCAATGAGGGCGGTTCTCTTGGTTCAGTTGGGCTCGTTCTGGCCGCTTCCTTGGGCCTGTGCCCGGTGGGCCCGGCTGTGAAGAGCGGCTGCTCCCCCGCGTGGCATTCGATCTGAGGCTTCAGACTTGGTTCCACAGCCTCCTGCCTCCTATGGTCCCAGAGGCCAGCGTCAGCCCTTCGGTCAGGCTGTGGGACAGTGACGGTGCCCGCGGGGGGAGGGGGCGTTGGTGTCAAGACCACAGCTTCCAGCTATGTCCAGGGTGCTCCAGCACACGGTGGAGTTCCGACTGACTGCCCCTCCTTTTCCCTCTCCTTGGCTTCTCTTGACCTGTGGGCTCTGGCTCCCTGGGGCCTGTGTGTGTGCACGCGTGTGTGTGTGTACAGGGATATGTGCACACATGTGCGTGTGCAAGCAAGTTGGGAACGCATAGGAAAAATTATCATGTCCTTTCAAAGTGGAGTCACCACACATGGGAGCTGGGCATGGCGGCCCAACTGCACCCTTCCGGGGAGTGGGAAGAGGGGGAGATGGATGCCAGGCTGCCCAGAGGCTTTGTCTGGCTATCGGCCCTTTACCTGGACCTGCCAGGAGCCTCCCAGCCACCCACTCGGGGCTTCTGAGGGAGGATCTTCAGTGAAATGGGCCCCGTGAGCGGGCAGGAGGCATGGGTGAGGCCCGAGGCAGGGCTAGGGCCCTGGAAACACTTGGGCCGGGGGCTCACGGGCTGAGGTCTCTTCAGCAGGAACCCCAGCCTGTGTCCGGCGGCCCAGAGGCCCTTCCAGAGCCCAGGGCCTGCAGCCGGGTGTCAGAGACCGGCTCCTCCGAGGCCCAGGCCAGTGCGGCTCGGGCAGACTGGCGTCAGCAGCGGACAGCAGAGCCCCGGGCCCCAGGGTGCAGTGAGGTAACGCACACCTTGGTCCCCGAAGCCAGCAGGGCACTGCCCCCTGCTGGAGCCAGGCTGATGGGACCCCCAGCGGCTGTCCCGGGCAGTGGGAGACCTGTGTGCAGAGGGGACCACGCAGGGAGGGATGGGACGGCGTGGGGCCCAGAGCCAAGGGGAGATTCTAGAGGAGGCATCCCAGGACCGTGACGCAGGACTAACCCAACCTCCACGTGTTCCCCCTCCTCACCCAGTCCCTGTGCTTTGGTCCTGTTTGGCAAATGTCTGTCCCGTGAATGGCCCCGTCCCAGGGGACTTTGGGGAGCTCTGGAAACAAGGTCTTGGCTTCTTGGTACCCTGGCCACCAGCTGCTTCTTACCGGGACTCTCGCAGGGGCCGCAGGTGGGAGGCCGCGGGAGGGTTTGTTCTGACCACAAAAAGGATTTTAATTGGAACTGGCTGCCAACATTTAAAACCTGGGCGCTTTTATGTAAAAAAAAAAAAAAATCTGGCTTCTCTTAAAGAAATTGGAAGAGCGCCCTGCTGGGGACAAGTGGCCACGGCCCTCCGGCTGGAGCTCTCTGGTTGGCTTCTGGGCCCCCTGCCTGACTTCACTACCTGCCTGGCCCCCACAAGCATTCGTGTGTGTGACCCCTGAGCTAACAGACTGTGGCACCGCTGCGACGCCCCGTCCCCGCTCCCACTCACGCCCAACCCCGTGGAAGGTGGGGGCCCCTTCGGAGGCCGCGTGGGGGCCAGTGTCCTGCAGCCCGACCTCAGCCCTCGGGGCAGCAGCTGAGACGTGCCCGGGAGAACATTCCTCCTCTGCCTTGTCGGCGTCCTGGGAGGGGCCCTGGGGCTGCGGGGGTCCAGGCCAGGGCTGGAGTGAGGGCCCGGTGGGGCCATCACCCTGAGAGCAGCGTGAAGACGTGGGAACAGGAAGACACGAGGGCAGGACGGCGTGGAGAGGGGGGCGTTCCTGCTGGAATGTTGACCTTTGGACAAGTTTTGTGACCTTCCTCCCTTCACATCAGTTCGTGTTGGACCCCATAAAAGGGAGAGGGAGGTGGGCTGGGCTGTCCTGGGAGAAGGACCCTGTCATCGCACTGCAGTGGATCGTGAGAGCGTGTCCTCCCGAGACCAGCCCGCATCCTTCCGGCAGCTGCTCTGTCTGAAAAGAAAAGCTGGGCGAAGACCCCCTGCTGGGCCGTTCCAGCTCAGTGCCCCACAACAAAGCGGGGGGGGGGGACTCACAGGCCACGGGGACCACCGAGCGGAGCCCCACCCTGGCCGTGGCTTCACCCTGCACCAAGGAGCACGCACTCCCTTCCCGAGACTCGGCGCGTCCCCTCGCAAAGCTCAGTGTTAAAGCTGCATCTCAAAGAGGACTTGGGGACAGTGGGTCACGGAAGGAGGAGGAAAGAAGGCAGATTGGGGAGCAGAGACGAGACCTCAGACCAGCACACCTCGGAGTGGAGGCTGGGCCTGAGCAACAAGGCGGGCCACCTGGGCTGAGGCTTTGGGGGTTCAGACAGGGTCTGAGGCCGATGAGGCTCCCCTTCCTTCACAGAAGCGCCGCCCCACCACCCTTGGCCTGAGGTGGGCTTCTAGAGGCAGAGCCTGCCGCGGGCTTGCTGGGCAGAGGGTTTACTGAGGGGCTGCTCTCAGGACCAGGTGGAGGTGACAGCTCAGACAGGCGTGGCGGCTGGCGTCCAGCCTCAGCTCGCTTCCTTCCGTATCCATCAGTCACCGGGTGTCCGCCGCCCTGGCTTTAGTTGTAACCCCCATGCAGTTTCCAGAAATGGCAGCGTCCTAGCTAGAGTCAGTTCTCCGGAGAGGGAGCCAGTGTCACTGTGGGTGACATGGGTGCTCTGACCTCACGGAGGGAACCGGGCAGAGCGCCAGCACTGGACTGCGGCCCCCGATGCGCTACACTCACAGTGCACACACGGACACTCACAGGGCACACCGCGTGCACACACGGACACCCACAGTGCACACACGGACACTCACAGGGCACACCGCGTGCACACACGGACACCCACAGGGCACACCGCGTGTACACACGGACACTCACAGGGCACACACGGACACTCACAGGGCACACCACGTGCACACACGAACACTCACAGGGCACACCACGTACACACACGGACACTCACAGGGCACACCGCGTGCACACACGGACACTCACGGCACACCGCGTGCACACACGGACACTCACAGGGCACACACGGACACACAGTGCACACACAGACACTCACAGGGCACACCGCGTGCACACACGGACACTCACAGGGCACACTGTGTGCACACTCCACAGTCAGGTGAAGCGAGTTCAAGGCAGCAGAGCCCTGCGTGGCCGGGCAGGCAGTGTTCCAGCACCTTCTGGCTCCTACTCCAGGCTCTGCGCCTCACACCAGCGCACACACGGATTGGGCGAGAAGCACGGATGGATGTTGACCTGTTCTCTGCATGTCGGACCTTGTGCTTACGTGTGCCCGTGGTGCTGGTCTTGACCCTGATCTGGGTGTGGCATGCCTGTGTCCTCCGCCTGTGCCAAGCGGCCACTCTGTCCATGTCCCAGCGTGTGTCCGCGTTGCCACCCCATATCTGCTTTGTTTCCAGCTGGACGAATGCCTTATTCCCAGCATTTTCCCAGATGCCTTCACATCCCTGCACCCCAGCCCTAGGCCCCAGCAGACCAGAACCATAGACCCAGAAGCCCCCAGGTCCGGCCTCAGCTCAGCTCCTACCAGCCCTATTGACCTCTGGGGCAGGTTCTCATCCTTCCTGGGCTCAGGTTTCCCGGCCGTGCAGTGGAGGGTGGTCTGGGCACCTCCCCTTCAGGAACCCGAGGCTCCCCCAGACTCTGGGCTGAAGACTGGAGGCTGCTGCGTGTCCACACTCATGTTCTTGCCACCCTGCCCCACGCTCCCGCCCACAGGCCCACGAGGACAGTTACTCTGAGGGGAGCACGGCGGACATGACCAACACCGCTGACCTCCTGGAGCAGATCCCCGACCTCGGCGAGGACGACAAGGACCCAGAGGACTGCTTCACCGAAGGTCCTTCCCTGGTGGCCCTTTGCCCCTGCCTCAGCCCAGGCTGGAGGGCCAGCGGGACCAGCATCCCCATGGGGCTCATATTATACCCACTCGGGCCCAGCTGCCTGCCCTGTCTCCCCATCCATCGGGACCCTAGGGGCTCCTCAGTCACGGCCAGTCTGCCAGCAGTCCCTGGGCTGGGCAGCTGTGGGTCAGCTGCACCAAGAACTAGTGGCACTGCGCTGGGCTGTGACATGACTGTGTGCCCGCGGCAGGAGGGACTGAGTCCAACCCACCCCGGTGCCCGCAGGCCCTGCCATGGTGACGGGCATCAGGAGTTGTTATGGTGAATTGGTGGTATCTTTGGAAGGTGGCTGGGGATAAAATGAGGGATTGGCCACCCTTCCCAAGGCTCAGAAACTGCAAACATGGAGAAGGCCCAGGGACAGCGCGGCCCAGGGAATTCTGGGACATTCCAGCAAGAGGAGGGTCTCCAGATGAGCAGAGGACAAGCTAGAGCCCATCCAACCCCAGCCTTGCCCTGCCCACTCCTCCCATGCCCTGGGGGCTCGCTCCATCTGGCCTTTGCACAGTGTGGGCCCCCAGGACAGCACCACAGTCCTTATCCCCCACGACCCCGCCCCGCGGCTGCCCTGCTCGTCACCCGTCCTTGTACCCTCTGTCTCAGTCATTCCTTCCACCACCAGCCCTTCGGCCATCAGACGTGGGCATTCGCAGGCTCTGCGCCGGGCCTGACCCCGACCCGTTCCCCACAGGCTGTGTTCGGCGCTGTCCCTGCTGCACTGTGGACACCACGCAGGCCCCAGGGAAGGTCTGGTGGCGACTGCGCAAGACCTGCTACCACATCGTGGAGCACAGCTGGTTCGAGACATTCATCATCTTCATGATCCTGCTCAGCAGCGGAGCTCTGGTACCCTCGGGGGGCTGCAGGGAGGGATGGAAGAGGAGGGGTGGGGGGAAGACAAGTCTCCAGGTGAAAAGCCAGGTCAGCAGCTGGGGCAGAACCTCTGCTGAAAATGCACTTTCCCAGGCCCCAGGTCAGCAATCATCTCACAAACTCTCTACATCCATAGCACAGAGAAGGAAGCGCTCACAGAGGCCGTCTGCCCAGGCCCCCTTGTTTCACGAAAGGGCAGTGATTCTCCCCAGATCACAGAGCGTAGCTGGTATAGGTCACAGGTCACCAGCCTCCCACACCTGAGCTCGGTGACACACCCCTGAGCACCACTCAGGAGCTCCATCAGGCTGAGCCAGTGCAATTCACGATGCTGGCTGAGACGGTAGTGGTGGCTCCACCTACTCCGGGTTTTCCAGGGCTAGAGATCAAGCTGCACAGCTCACACATGATGACGTTTCATCCCACCACCTTTTGTAGAGATGTTAAGTAACCTGCCCAAGGCCCCACCACCCATAAGCAGCAGTATCGGATTCCAGATCTCTGTCTTGACCTTGCATTTGTTCAATAGATCTCTTCCAAGCTCTCCTTGTATCTACTTCTGTGAGCCATGGGGGAGCAATAGAAGGAAGAGACCTTGGCCCTGGCATCAGGGGTTCCCCATCTAGTTGGGGAAGTCAGACTCAGCAAGTGTGAGAGTCAGAGATCAGCTCAAGAAAGTTGAACAAAAATGGAGTAGATGACTCAGAATGATGTGAGGTCAGGGAAACTGGAGCAATCAGGAAGGCTTCCTGGAGGAAGCAGATGGAACTGGACTGTGGAGGACAGGGAAGTTTGTTGAGCCAAAGGAAGCAGTGAGGCCTTCCAGGAATGCCCTCATATGGCTCCCAAGCACCCAGCTCTGATCTCTCAGATCCCTCTTGGAAGGAATGGAACAGCCCTGGAGAGGGTTCTGGAAAGGGCTGGTGAGCAGGGAGAGGGATGATCAAGAAGGCAGAAGAAACAGAAACTCCAGACTCGGGGGAGCAAGCACCTAATATTGCTGGGGAATGAGTAACTAACAAGGCATGCTTTGGACTGCACAGTAGGAGAGGCTACTTTGACCCAAGACTGTGCCTCCTGAGGGGCAGGCCACGGGGAGGCTCTGTGGCTGCCACTTCTAACCCTCTGGGCCGCCCAGTCCTCCCGGCACTGCCCCGCTCCTGCTCTGGAGTTGGCCCGGAGTCATGCTTTGCAGACTGCATGCTGCTTTACCATTGGCAGCTGGAGCAGAATCTCTGCAGACTTCAGAGAAGGATGATTTGACAATATGTTAACGAGTTTTGTTTTTAAACAACCGCAAACAAGGGCAGCCAGAGCCATTTAGTCTGGGCTGTGGAGGAAAAGCTCAGCCTCACATAAGTGAGGAGGAGTCTTGGCAAGCAAAGATGAATCTAATCAGGGTAGACAGCCAAGCACTGTTAAAAAAAAAAAGAGTCAATGATATATTGAGAAAAAGAAGTCTCAGAGTGTTATTTAAAGTTATAAACTTGTTTAACAGAAAGCAGATTATATATCCCTTCCAAACTACTGAAGGGAATTTAAAAAAAAAAAAAATCTTACAAGAAAAGATACAAGGAAAAATAAACAACAAGGAAGCATTAAGTCAGGAAACTGAAAATAATATGGCAGAGGCAAGACCAAACATGTGTTTTAATAATAAATGTAACTGGAAAAAATTTATCTTTTAAAAGAAAAGGACTCTGAATGGATTTTTAAAAAAATATTAGCTATTGCTCTCAAATGACAAACCTAGAACACTGTGACTCAGAAATATTAAAAGTGAAATAATAAGATATATCAGGCAAATGAAAACAATGACAACAAAAACCAGAGTCCTTTTGTTTGTTAATATTTAACAAGGTTGAATTCAAGGTAAAAGCTTGAGATAAAACAGAGAGGTTTCCATCTATATAAAAACATAACTATTATGAATATATTTGCTTAGGATTGCATACCACTTATGTAAAGCAAGAACCATTGAGGGAGTGTGGCAGCAGTGCAATAGTACAGGGACATTTTGTCACTTCTATTAATTATTTTTTAAAAGAGCCCAAGGTGAATGATGAGAGAGTAAGGAGAACTTCATGTTTTTAAAATATTTTTTTCCTTTATTGATTTTAGAGAGAGAGGAAGGGAGAGAGAGATAGAAACATTGATGACAGAGAACATCAATTGACCACCTCCTGCAGACCCCCTACTGGGGATCGGGCCCACAACCTGGGCATGTGCCCTGACCAGGAATCGAACCAGCAACCTCCTGGTGCATGGGTTGACGCTCAACCACTGAGCCACACCAGCCGGGCAGAATTTCACATTTTTAGATTTTTAATTGATTTTTAGAGAGAGAGGAAAGGAGAAGAAGAGAAAAAAAATTGATGTGAGAGCAAAACATCTGTTGACTGCCTCCTGCATACCCCCTAATGGGGACTGAGCCCACAACCAGGCCTGTGCCCTGACCCAGAATTGGACAGGCATGGGATGATGCCCAGCCAACTGAGTCACACCTGCCAGTTCTCCCATTACTTCTTAACAAATCAAATAGAAAGAACAAGACAATGAGAAATCTAAATCTATGTGTGTGTGTGTGTATAATTGATCTAAGTTAATAAAAATAATAGTTAACATTTAAACAGCACTCACTGTGTGTCAGACCCTGTTGTAGACACATTACAAACATTAATTTAGTTAATTCTCATAATAAGACTATAAGGTAGGTATTATTATTAAGCCTATTTCATAGATAAGGAAACAGCTAGATATAGCAAAAGTAGAAAGATTAAAAACAAAACCTTAGAAATGTAAAAGTCATTTTTAAATAAACCTTGGATCAAACAAAAAATAGTTTGCTGGTAGGTTCATGGGTACTCATTACATTAATAAGTAAATAAATAAATTAAATAAAGAGACTATACATGGATCAAAGTTGACAGTGTGTTGTAAATCAAACATTATGACTCAACCAGTTATGTCCACCTAAAATCTGGAAAAATAAGAAATGAAAAATAGAGGTAGAGAAGGAAACTATGACTAGAGAGGGGGTGGGGGACTAGAAAATAAGAATATTGAGAATATTGCATGTGACATGCAGCCAAAGCTATAATGAGAATAAAATTCATAGACTTAAACAATTTTATTATTAAATAGAAACAATGTAAACTAATTATTTCATTCAATAAATTAGAAATATAACAACAAAATAATCTTAAGGAAAGCAAAGGAAGTAATTAATAAAATAAAAACATCAATTAATGAATTAGAAAGTAAATAGTAAAACTGATATAATTTCAGAGTAAAACAATCAAATAGAAAAACTCCCATTTCCAAGGGTAGAATCTTTCACATTCTTAAGAAGGAAAATAATTCCAGTCCTATTTAAAATATTCTAGTGTATGAAAACAAATAGAAAGTCTACAAATTCTTTTTATGAAAACTAAATACGGCTTATTTTTAAAACCTTAAGAATAGAAAAAGGAAAGCTATAGACCATTTTTCATATTCCGTACTTATGAATAGTGACACAAAAATATTAAAATATATGCAAATAGGATCCAGGAATATATATATATATAATTTTTTTTTTAATTCTCACCTGCGGATATTTTTTCATTGATTTTTTAGATAGAGTAGGAGGGAGGGAGAGGGAGAGAGAGACACTGATGTGAGAGAGACATGCTGATTGGTTGCCTCCTGCACAACCCCTACCAGGGCCAGGGATTGAACCTGCAACCAAGGTATATGCCCTTGACTGGGAGTCGAACCTGAAACTCCTTGGTATGCAGGCCAATGCTGCAACTACTAAGCCAAACCAGCCAGGGCACCAGCAATATATTTAAGAGATTTTAAAAGTCATAGCTAAATATATATATCAAAATGATGCCATATTAGAAAATCTATTTACACAAATAGGACAAAGATAAAAAATTATCTCAACAGATTCCTGATTTTTAAAACTGGTAAGAATAGAAATAAGATATATTTCCTTAATTTAGTTAAAAACTTACTTTCAAGCCTGGCCAGTGTGGCCCAGTGGATTGAATGTTGCCCCACAGACTGAGAGGTCTTGGTTTGATTCCCAGTCAGGGCACATCCTCAGTAGGGGACATACAGGAGGCAGCCAATCAATGTTTCTCTCTCACATCAATGTTTCTGTCTCTCTCTCCCTTCCTCTCTCAGTAAAAATATAAATAAAAACATTTATTTTTAAAAACTTACTTTCAAACTAACTTATCATCATTAGTAGTAAAACACCTAAACATTTTTATTAAAGTCAAAAATAAGAAAAAGGATGATTTAACTTTTGAGCTGTTGTTCCTTACTTAACAATAACCTTGAAGTACTAGCCAGTGCAATTAATGAAGAAAATTAAACATACAGTAAAACTATGCAAAACAGAAGAATTCAAGTTAATATAGTCAAGTATAAAACAAGAGCTAATAACAATAGAAATATATCATTACTTGATAATGGTTGTCTAAAAAAATTTTTAAACGTATTAAAAACACTCTATGGCCAGTCATAAAATATACAAAGAATTATTGCTGCTGTTGTTTAATACTAACAGAAACCTTAGTCACAGTAACATTTCTCAAATATTCCTTATATGCCAGGCATGTGAACAAAATAAGTGGGAATAATATAACATATGAATAAGAGGTACATGAGGAAAACTATCAAACTTTGCTAAGGAATGTAGGAGACAAATAGGTAAATATCCTATAAATACACGCCCGTCTTGGGTATGAAGGCTGTGTATTAATTCCTAAAACAGTTAATAAACTTAATGCAATAGCAACAAATTTCCAACATCTTTGAGGGAACTAGACAAAACATTGCCAAATTGTATCTTGAAAATTACTAAAAATGGCCAGGAAAATTTATATAGTACTAATTCAGGAATAGAGAGAATTAGAACCTTGTAGGGAGAGGTCTGACACGAAGGGTAGTATATGAAAAGTTGACTTCTAATCTGTGGATTTGAAGTGGATTCTTAAATAAAGTGTTAGGACAGTTGACCAGTCACTCTGAAGAAAAAATTAAAATATTTGCTCTTTACCAAAATTAGATTTTTAAAAGTGTAATATAAAAGAATGAAACCAGAAGGTTTTTTAGAGTGTCGGCCCGTGGACTGGAGAGTCCCGGGTTCGGTTCCCACTAAGGGCACGTACCTTGGTTGCAATTTGTCCCCGGCCCCACTTGGGGTCATGTGGCTGGCAACCACTCAATGTGTCTCTCTCACATCGATGTTTCTCTCTCTCTCTTCCTCCCTCTCTCCCTCCTGCTTTATGTGAAGACACATGCAAAAATGTCCTCGGGTGAGGATAAAAAAAAAAGAAAGAAAGAAAGAAAGAAAGCCCTTGCTTATTCCAAGGCTACAAAAAAAAAGACCCTTCTTTTCTTGTTTTTATCCTCACCTAAGGACATCTTTCCATTTTTGTTCAGATAGAGTAGGAGGGAGCGAGAGAGAGAGAAACATCGACATGAAAGGGACACATCGAGTGGCCGCCTCCCGCACAACCCAACCAGGGCCGGGGACAAACTGCAACCGAGGTACATGCCCTCAGTGGGAACCGAACCCGGGTCTCTCTCGACCGCAGGCCAATGCTCTAACCGTTGAGCCAAACCAGCCAGGGTAGCAAGGGTTTTCTTAACATGATGCTAAAGGTTTTCCTAGGTGGAAATCATAACACATGATATAATTATGTAAATTGTATAACAAGTGAAGATGAAGTGTAGAACTTCAGTAGGGTAAACAAGAGGGAATGAGATGGAAAGACACACGACCAGGGTAAAGTGTATCAAATAAAGAGAGAATGTCCCCAAATACACCAGACACTCAAGTAAAAAAATAAGCAAAGAAGATGAACATTACAACAAATATCCCAGGAAACTATGTCAGTCACTAGTAAAAAAATAATTTAAAATGGAACAAAGTACAGTTTTTATCCGTCGGGCTGGGAAGAGGGACGAAGAATTACCACCAGTGAGGTTGGGGTGGTGAGGAGAGAGGCGCCTCCACGCACTGTGGAGGGAGTGTCTCTAGGTGACCCCTTCCGAGGCCCTTCTCCCCATCACACCAAAGTACACCTTTGATCTTCACCCCAATTCTAGAAATGCATCCTTAGCAGATGACCAGACCCGATGTGCACTGTTGTTTCTACTAGGGCTGAATTGGAAACAACAGAAATGGTCATTGCCTGGGTTATTGGCTAGATCAACAGTAGTATATGCAAATAATGAAATATTACGCAGCCTTTAAAAAGAATGAGATTCATGTAATCACATCATTGAGTCAGTACTTGTTCACAAAAGATTGTTTAGTGGAAAAAATTTCAAAGCAGAATATTTAGTGTATCTTATGAAAGTATACGCTCACATACACACACAGGGTGTCGAAAAGAATGTTTGCTGAATGTTAGCAGTGGTTACTGGAATGTCGTGACATTGGAGGTGCCTTTTATTTTCTATATCATTTATTTTTTTATAAAAAGCACACATTTTTATAACCAGAAAAAAAAAACACCTCTTTTTTTTTTTTTTTAGAGAAAGAGAGAGAGAGAAACAAATTTTTTGTTCCACTCATTTATGCAGTCATTGGTTGATTCCTATACATGCCCTGACCGGGGATCGAACCCGCAACCTTGATGTATTGGGACGACTCTCTGACCAACTGAATTACCCGGCTGGGGCACCTACTGCTTCTCTTGAGCAACTCCCCACATCCATGCTGGGACCTGAGTTACCCTCTTGTCCCGTGTACACTGAGCAGACTAGCCATGTGTACGCCTCGGCAGTGTGCTCGGGCGCTGGGGACAGCACTGTCCACCTGGGCCACTGCAGCTCAAGTGGCCCTGCGGTCGGACAGGGAGCCCAGAGCCACAGGTGGAGGCCGCCTCCAGGGCTCTGTGACAGGTTTTTGTCTACATGGGGAGGCTCAGAGCACACACTGGGCGGGAGCAGGGCCTGGGCGGGAGCAGGGCCTGGGTGGGAGTAGTACCTGGGCGGGAGCAGGGCCTGGGCGGGAGCAGGGCCTGGGCGGGAGCACACATTGGGTGGGAGCAGCGCCTGGGCGGGAGCAGCGCCTGGGTGGGAGCACATGCTGGGCACCAGCAGTGCCTGGGCGGGAGCAGGGTCTGGGCGGGAGCAGGGCCTGGGCGGGAGCAGGGCCTGGGCGGGAGCACATGCTGGGCAGAGCAGTGCCTGGGCGGGGCAGGTACGATCAGAAGGCTGGAGGTGGAAGAAAGCCGTTGGCCCAGGAATTTGGGCTGAGGCAGGAGTGAGGAGGTGGAGAAAGCTTCTAGCATTTTAGAAACGTTGACGCCTCGATTCTGAGGGTTGCCGGAGGTGTGCCTGTGTCTGCTCCTGTGTCTCCTGACCCCCACAGCCACGCTGCCTTCACTGTCATTTCTCTGAGGCTCTGCCTTAGATCAACTCTCACTGTGTTTGGTTAAATAAACTTACTATAAAGGAAAACATCTAATGATTATGGCAACTGGAAACCAATATTATTTCTTATGAAAAGTAGGTAACTGCTTAAAGGAGAATAAAAAAACAGGTTGATGTTGTTTCCTGCAGAAGGCTGTGAGCCGAGCCAGAACACCCTCCCTCCTTGTTAAAATGGGAGATCCGCAAGTTCTAGAAAGGTCTTTAAGGTGCCCTAGCCCAGAACTGAGACTTGTTCTTCAGTGTAAAGGCAGAAGTTCTCACTGCACACTGTCCGCACACCGAGTGAGGTCGTTTGCTGGCCCACCGACGGCACACGCCCTTGGAGAGCCTGGGGCGGCGTCCCCCGCTCGCCTTGGAGGGAGGAGTCCCCTCCACTAGGCGTCTCGCTCTGTCCCCCGCCCTCCCAGTTAGCAGGGTGGGATGGCCGTGCCCAGGAGGTCATGTCCACCTGTCCGACCTGGCCCGCAGGCCTTCGAGGACATCTACCTGGAGGAGCGGAAGACCATCAAGGTTCTGCTGGAATATGCCGACAAGCTGTTCACCTACGTCTTTGTGCTGGAGATGCTGCTCAAGTGGGTGGCCTACGGTTTCAAGAAGTACTTCACCAACGCCTGGTGCTGGCTGGACTTCCTCATCGTGGACGTGAGTGCCGCCCCGAGGGGCAGGGGCAGGGGAGGCCATGGCTGCTGTGAGTGGGGTTGAAACAACAGGGGGACAGGGTGACAGGCGGGCAGGAGTTGGGCTGAATAGAGACACTCGTCTGTGCCGTGCGGTGGGCGGAGGGAGAGGAGGCCGGATTCTGCGGCCACAGGGAGACCCGGATCCTGCTCTCAAGGTCCCCAGTCTGGGAGGAAGAGGAGAACCATGAGTCCTGGGCCCTGCCATCAGAACCCCCAATTTAGGGAGACCTAGACCATGTGCTCAGGAGCCCTGGCTTCTGGGGGAGACTAGACCCACCTGTGCAGCCATGAAGAGCATCACAGGCGGGGGGTGAGCCAGGGCCGGAGTGGAGCCCCCCAGAACGGGGCAGACAAGCCTGCACCATGCACAGACCACAGCGTATCGTGAAATGTCTGTCAGGCGCTGGACACGTGGCCAGATAAGAGCCTGGAGGAGGCTGTCTGCACCGGGGACAGCGTGAGCCGAAGGCCAGGGGGGACGGGTTGGTGAAGAGCTACTGGGCAGGCTCAGGAGGTCGTCCCACCTGCTGTGTCCCACACCCTACTCAGAGTGCCCAGTAGCCTGGCCAAGGTCCAGGCAGGGCAGAGGTCAAACCTCAAGCGGCTGTGGCGGGAGACACTCCTTGGATGGGAGTGTGCGTGGGGACATCAGGCCACTGGGCCTGTGGGCAGCCTCTCTCTGTCACCCCAGTGGCTGAAAGGATGCCAATGCTCTGGTGAGGGGTGCGGGGGTAGTAGAGAGGGAGGGAGGGGACTCCCGAGGCCCCACCCCAGCCCCCCACTCAGAGGCCTGAGGGACTGTCCCAGGGCAGGCCCCAGGGAGTCCGTGGAGACTTCTGGTTAGGCCCACCCACACCCGCCCCTGCCACCTGGGGACTCAGCTAAGGCCAGGCCCAAGACTGGACAGGCAGCTTGTGGAGAAGGAAACCGAGGCCCACAGCAGGGAGGGACCTCGCCAAGGTCAGCAGGAGGAAGTGAGTGTTGGAATCCAGCTTTTCTGACGCTGGCCATGCTGCCCCCAACCCCCAGCCCAGCCTCGTGGGAAAGGGTGTCTTCAGGCCTCAGGTCTGGAGAACAATGTTTTCAGGACAATTCATGCTTTTTTTTTTTTTTAATAAACACTAGTGAGCATCTATGGACAGGGCGCTGGGTATCTTGGGGAACAAAACAGACGAAAACCCTGCCAGTGTAGAGGAACAATAAAACACTAAGGAAGCCGATTTTATATTACGTGAGAAGCTGATGTGAACCATGAAGCAAAAGGAAGCCAGGAGGTTTGGGAGGCCAGGGGGCAGGGGGAGGGGAGGGGAAGTAGGTCACAACTTTAAATGGGCTGGCAGGGCCCGCTGAGGGGACATTTGAGCAGATTTGAAGGACGTTGTGGTGAGCCAGGAAGATGTCTGCAGAACATTCCAAGCAGAAGTTGGAACGGCAGTGCCAAGGTCCTGTGGTCAGTGTGCCTGGCACCCTTGAGCTACAGGGAGGCCAGCAGCTGGAGCAGCGTGAGTCAGGACGGCAGGTGCAGGATGAGACCAGATGCATGGGGCAGAAGGCGCAGCCTTTGGAACACAGGGCTATTTAGAATGAAATGGGGAGACGGTGCAGGGCTTGGGACAGGAGGACGACATGAACTGACTCATGTTATGAAAAGATCGCCCGTGGGTGGGAGGGGTGGCCCGAGTGGCAGCAGGACGACGAGCTGGAGCCGTGGCGGAATCCAGAGGAGAGGTGGCGGTGGCCCGGCCACCGCGGTGGCCATGAAGGTGGTGTGAAATAGCTGAACTTCGCATGTGTTTTGAAGACAGAGCCAACAGGAAATCCTGATGGGTGGCATGTGAGGCGTGAGACACAGAGAGGAGGCAGGGATGACGCCAAGGCTGTGGCCTGAGCAGCTGGAGGGATGGCGTTGCAGTCGCCGAGTTGGGGGGACTCTGGGCGGGGCAGGTGGGGAAGAGCAGACGTCGGGAGTGGCCTGCTGGGAGCCAGGCAGGCTCACTGGCCCCTGGGAGAGGCCCCTCTACCTCTCGGGGAATGGGGACCGGGAGCTGGGCATCCTCGAGGGGTGCCCCTCTGCCCAGCCCCCTCCTGCAGGTGCTCCCAGCCGGGGCGGGGGCTGTGGCAGTCAGGCCCTTGCCCGTGCTCCTCGCCCCCCCAGGCTGCCCTGAGCGCCAAGGTGCTCTCAGTGGTGACTGCATGCGCGGTCAGGCGGGAGGCCATCGAAGCCGTGTTCCCGGCCAGCAGTGAGGAAAGAGGGACTGGATGCCCGTGGAGCCTTAGAACGAAGCCCTCGGGAAGGAAATGCCATGCGGGAGTGGGGCAGAGGGGGCAGAGGGATCCCCTTGCCTCAGGATCTCCACGGAAGCCTCCCTTCTTGAAGGTGTCCGGAGGCTGCCAGGCCTGGCCTTAGGGAAATGCCCCGAGAGAGCCTGTCTGCTCAGACTCAAACCCAGGACAGTCCTTCCTCCCCCAAAAGAGGCCCAAGAATTTGACTTAAAGGAAAACACACGGGCCTTGCGTCCCTGCTCGTCCACACCAAAGGTGGTTTGGAGGCTCAGTCAAGGTGTGTCTCGGCCAGGACACGGCGCCTGCCCCAGTGTCGGGCCCGGACGGCTGGCCTGTGGCTGTGGAGACGGGCCCGTGGGGACTGGAGGCGGGGAAGGCCTGCCGGCCCTCACTCCCCGCCGTTTCGGGTGGGCCAAGGCCTGTCTCTGTGCAGAACTTTCCCCGTGCCTCCCACAGGTCTCGCTGATCAGCCTGGTGGCCAACACGCTGGGCTTCTCCGAGATGGGCCCCATCAAGTCGCTGCGGACGTTGCGGGCCCTCCGGCCCCTGCGAGCCCTGTCACGGTTTGAGGGCATGAGGGTAAGAGGACCGGCTGCCTTCCCGGGGCACACTTTAGGGGAGAACACCCCCAACCCAGTAGCAGCCACCCGCAGATAAACCAGAAACTTAGCTCAGAGAATGTGTCTCCAGGGCCCATTCCCATCCGTCCCTGGCATATTCAACTACCCTGGTGAAAATTAAGTTTCAAAGTCCTGGATTCAGGCAGGGCCAAGAAGAGAAAGGCAGATGTGCTGCAGCTGCATCAGACTTGGGGTGCAAAGAGAACGGTGTGTGTTTCTTTGTCATTCTCCTCCCCACAAGGACCTGTGGGTCGCCCTTCCCTGGGGACAGGAAGTGGTCTGCACCTCCTCCCCACAAGGACCTGTGGCGAGGGAGTCAGCAGGTTGGGGCTGGGGAGTGTCTTGAATAGGGCATAGTCTCTGGACACCCCCGGGAGCTGAGTCTCTTCTCTGTCCACTTGAGGTTGTAGTCAATGCCCTGGTGGGTGCCATCCCGTCCATCATGAACGTCCTCCTCGTCTGCCTCATCTTCTGGCTCATCTTCAGCATCATGGGCGTGAACCTCTTCGCGGGGAAGTTTGGGAGGTGCATCAACCAGACCGAGGGGGACCTGCCTTTAAACTACAGCATCGTGAACAACAAGAGCGACTGTGAGTCCTTCAACATGACCGGCGAATTGTACTGGACCAAGGTGAAAGTCAACTTTGACAACGTGGGGGCTGGGTACCTGGCCCTCCTGCAGGTGGTAAGTCTCAGAGAGGAGGGACTTCCTTCCTCCCACTGGTTCTCTCGCAACAGGCTCCTTCACCCATGATGTGAGTGGGGAGCAGGGCCACTGGGGCCACTGAATTATTAAAGGAGGGTCACATTGCCCAAAGGGGGCCAAGGTTCTCCAGAGACTTGGCTGCGGGCCAAGGGCTCCTTGGGACGTCCCCAGATCTCCCTTTCTGGAGCAGACGCCATGTTCTCCAAGACCCATAATGTTGGGGTTCAGCACATGACAGAACCAACGTCCCAGCCAGCAGTCAGGTTGACCTCACGCGGTCAGTTTGGCGCAGGTTAGAAGTGGAAGACCGTAGACACCCTGAACTGTTAGCAAAACTGTGGCTCTGGCCATCCCTCTGTTACAAGTGGTATCCCCTGTGTTGTGTAAAAAAAGATTTTCTTCCATCTCTGATGTGCAAGGTGCGTGATGTTTAAACTCACCCAGCTTGCCCAGTCTTTCCAAAGTTCTCACTGGTTGGTGAGGACGGTGCCGTTAGTGAATATCATGCCATCATTTTTTTTTAATCCTCACCCAAGGATATTTTCCATTTTATCTTCAGGTAGAGTGAGAGGGAGGGGAAGAGAGAGAGAAACATCGACGTGAGAGGGACACATCAACCGGTTGCCTCCTGCACGACCCCAACCAGGGCCGGGGATGAACCACAACCGAGGTACAAGCCCTTGACCGGAATCGCACCCGAGACTCATCGGTCCACGGGCCAACGCTGTAACCGCTGAGTCACACCAGCCAGAGCCGTGCCATAAAATCAACTGACGAATAGCCCTAACAGCAGAACCGCACACAGAACCACAACTCATGAAGCTGCAGCCTGCTTCTCCTGCTATCCCAGGCCTCAGCTCAGACACCTGCCTCTAGTCCCCAGAGGAAAACTCAGCGGGACTCTCACTTGAGAACCAAGCGCGTGCACTCCCGTGTCCACCCGCTCCCGAGGTCCCAGGAGCAGCCGTCTCCAAAGACGCTCCTGGACTACCTCATGGAGAACAGGATTAGAGCCACACCCACAGAGCTCCGGTCCCTGGGCCTGGCCCGCTCAATGTCAGGACTTGTGGGGAAAGACCCCTTTTGTAGCCAGAACTGCCTTCCATTCCAGACAGAACCACACAGTGGCGGGGAGGAATTTAGCTGCGGCATCTCATAGCCCTGGGTGGTCCTCAGAAGCTTCCAAGGCATTTCCAGGCCCCTGCACAGTGAGGGCCGTGTGGCATTCGGGGCTGAAATGGCTTGCCTTCGGTGCAGCAGCCTCAGTTTCCCCATCTGCCCTGCCTGCCTCTTAAAAACTCTCAGAAATGCAACATTTGTGTGGAGCAGCTTGCTCCCTGACAGGAAGCTGGGCGTGGGATTGGGTTTGGCCTAGGACACCGGTGAGCCCCGCGGGGCAGTTGATCTCAGCACGGAGCCTGTCTTTCGGACCCTGAAGCTTCATGGCTGCCCAGACAGGGGCCGACAGTGCGGCCGGCACCAGGGCCCTGTCTCATGGCCATGGTGTGCTCAAGCCAGATATTTTGCAAGCTATTATTAAAAATTACATTTTAGCCCTGGCCGGTTTGGCTCAGCGGTTGGAGCGTCGGCCTGCGGTACAGAGAGACCCGGGTTCGGTTCCCGCTAAGGGCACATACCTCGGTTGCAGTTTGTTCCCGGCCCTGGTTGGTCGTGCGGGTGGCAGCCACTCGATGTGTCCCTTTCACGTCGATGTTACTCTCTCTCTCTCTTCCTCTCTCTCCCTCTCGCTCTATCTGAACAAAAAAATGGAAAAATGTCCTCGGGTGAGGATAAAAAAAAAAAAAAAAAATTACATTTTAGCCCTGGACGGTTTGGCTCAGCGGTTAGAGCGTCGGCCCACAGACCTAAGAGTCGTGGGTTCGATTCCAGCCAAGGGCACGTCCCTCGGTTGCAGTTCGTCTCCAGCCCTGGTCAGGCTCATGCAGGCGGCAACCAGTCGATGTGCCCCTCTCACATCGATGTTTCTCTCTCTCTCTTCCTCCCTCTCTGTCTGAAGAGAAATAGAAAAATGTCCTTGGGTGAGGATTAAGAAAAAAAAATTGTATTTTATAAACATATAATTAACTGAATCATATTAAAACCAAATGAAACCGTTTAGTATCATCTGTGCTCTTGAGGTTAATACCTCTATTATGCCCGAACCGTGGAAGCCCTCTCGTGCTCTGCTCCTGGCCCAGCTCCCCATGGACTCCGTGCCCGTGTTCAGTGGCCGCACGTCGGCAACTGGAATCGGCCGTGGAGGGAGGATTTACACAGGGAAATCGGTGAACCCAACACTCGGGGCTTTTTTTTTCTTTTTTCTACGTCGGCACCATTTACTCACAGACCCCTGACAAGGGACCCCTGGCAAGGGACCCCACCTTAAGTCCAAGGGGAGGTTGGGATTCTTTAGGGACTTCCTTTGAAAGGTTGTGGAGCGGAAGCCACAAGGTTCTCCGAGGTGCGTGACAAGGGACCAGGTCAGCACCGGGGTCCACCTTAGGCTGGAACGGAGGGCTCAAGCCCCACCTCGTGTCTCTACCACCGCCGCAGAACCGTGTTGTTTTAGAGTCTGACATGAGTGTGGATCTGGAGGGCCGTCGTCCGCCCGGCTCCGCTCGTCCCTCGGCCAACACCGAGAGGCTATTCCTACACTGCGTGGCCTTCGTGGGGCGTCTGCTCAGCTGGCTTCCCCGCACGCCCAGCCCTGGACAAGGCCTTTGCCGGACCACCTGGCCATTTGGTCACTGCTCTAGGGGCGGGGTGGGCTGCTGGCTCCTTGAAGGAGGCTCCTTCCTGGCCTTACCTGTCCCGACAGGAGCCCTAGTTGCTCAGTCGATGCAGAGCTCAATGATTTTCTTACTCTTGTCTTTTCCTCTCAGGCAACATTTAAAGGCTGGATGGACATTATGTATGCAGCTGTGGACTCCAGAGGGGTAGGTTGGCCTCTTCCGCCAAGTCAGGCGCTGAAGGCTCCCAGCTGCCTGGCCACTGGAGAATCAGGGTGCACATCTGCAAGGCCACCCTACGAGGGCCGGGTCGCTTGCATCAACCTGCAGTTGAACCCCCCTGGAATGCCCAGGCCTGGCCTGGATCGCCCAAGGAGTCCCCAGAATTCTCAAACACCTTTCTCATGGAATTCACTGTAGTTTACTTGAATCTTAGTCTTACCCCAGGAGGATAGGGTGGAAGCAACGGAGATACAGATCAAGCTTCTTCTTTGTCCTCGTACCGACCCGTCCTCACTGACAGGTCACAGGAGACTGAGAGATGCCCCATATTCTCAGACATCCCAATGGCCCAGGGAAAGAAGCCATGTGGTGGCACAGGGCCTGCCCTGCGCCCAGCCGGCCTGCTGTCCTCACCTGTCACCATCCACTTCCCATGTTCACCCCACCCACCCACACCTGTGCTGATGACCTTCCCCTGGGTGCCCCTCTCCCACAGAACAGACACCCCGGCCAGCCCGCTGCTTGCCTGTCTGATCTCCGTCTGATTTCTCCCCTCAGTATGAAGAGCAGCCCCAGTGGGAATACAACCTCTACATGTACATCTACTTTGTCGTGTTCATCATCTTTGGGTCTTTCTTCACCCTGAACCTTTTCATCGGTGTCATCATTGACAACTTCAACCAACAGAAGAAAAAGATACGTAGAGCGCAGGCTCCCCCTGGGCCGGCAGGGCTGGGTGCCAAGGGTTCTGGCTCCTGCACCCACTTTGGCTTTCTGTTGAGGATGGTCCTCCGCGTGCTTCTGCTGGATGGAGTGGGGGGCAGAGGGGTGTGCCCATGATGTAACATGCCCAGGCCTGCCCTGGTCTGCCTGAGAGACGAGGCTCCTGAGAGAAGCTGGATGAGGCTGGAGACTCGGTACCTGGTCCCTGATCAGGGCCAGTGGGTAGAACCTGTGCAGGGGCCAGGGTCTTCCTGGAGCTCCATCAGAGGGGCCGCGATTGGTCTGCAGGTAAACTAAGTAGGTAGGGAGGACCTCCAACCTGGCTACGTTGGGCAGGGGAGACAGTGGGCGCAGGGCACAAAGCCAGAGAGATCTCGGGTGAATGGGGACAGGGACCCTGGAAAGCAGGTTTGGGGAGGACCCTGTGGCACAGGATAGGAAACGCTCTGCTCTTCCAGGAGAGGAGGTGAGGAGGGGGCTGGCCCTGGCACCTTCATTATTGATGCAGGGTCCCTGTGCCATCCATGCTGGCGCCTCTAAGAACCCCAAAATGAGTCTGGTTCCTGTCTCTCTGCACTTAGGGGGCCAGGACATCTTCATGACAGAGGAGCAGAAGAAGTACTACAATGCCATGAAGAAGCTGGGCTCCAAGAAGCCCCAGAAGCCCATCCCCCGGCCCCTGGTGAGCATAGCTCCCAATTCAGCAAGAGTGGGAAGGATCGGCTGGGGCAGGGGGAGCCACACAATCAACTATCCTGGCTTCTCCAGGGTCTTTGGGCCCAGCCGGAGGCCCCCAGCCCGTCCAGGAAAGGAGGGGCATCTTAGGAGTCTGGCCACTCACAGAGGACGCAGGCTCATAGAGACAGGAAGGAAGGCACGAGAAGGCCGTGGCAACCAGGGCACACCCCTCCCACAGAAACCCATCTGCTTCTTAGTGAGCCCCTCCTCCCCTGCAAGGGCCCAGGTTTCCCCAGGGGAGCAGGACGGTCTTCACAGCCTCTACCTACCCCCTGCATTGCCTCATCCTTGCAACCCCCTGAATGGTAGAGCCCCTGGTGCGTGCGGCGAAGAGGGGTGTTGAGTCCTCTGCCAAGCTGCCCCCCTTGCCTGATGAAGCCGTTTTCTACACGTGTGTGTTGGAGCGGGGTGGGGCCAATAATTACTCAGAGTATTTAGGTGACAACACAAATCACTAGCTGGTTAGTGGCAGCCCTGGTTTTTTAATTCAGTTCATCAATTTCACCGGATCCTGTCCTGGTCGCCATACTCTGTTCTGTGCGTGTAGATGTTTTCACTTATTTACAACCTTCTCTCTTCCCCCAGAATAGTCTGGGGTGGCTCACAGTTAAAGACACATATAAATGTAGTTAGTAGAATAAATACAATCAATTCCTTGAAAAGAGTGGAGGACATTTATAACTTGGGGGCCAATGTAATTACTAGGGTTGAGCTTGAAATTTAACCTCCAGACGGTGGGAACAAAAGGGGAAGCAAAATGAATGTCCGCGAAGGAAACGCAGAGGAGGAGAAATTCCTCCTGAAGGCCCATCAGAGGAGGCCTCTGGGTCAAGAGGGAGCCTCGGGGCTGGGCCTTGAAGCCCAGGGAGCTCTTCGGCTGGACAGCCAGGCTGCCTCTCAGCTCCTGACCTCTTCCCCTCAGCGTGACCGCCTGGTGGGTGTTGGCCTCACCAGACAGCAGCGAAGAGGGTGGGTGATCTGGGCAGAAAGGTACAGCAGGGGCCTTCGGGGCTGCTCAGGCCCCTGCTGAGCCAGCCTTTGCCCCTTCTTCCAGAACAAGTACCAGGGCTTCATATTCGACATTGTGACCAAGCAGGCCTTCGATGTCTCCATCATGTTTCTCATCTGCTTGAACATGGTGACCATGATGGTGGAGACGGACGACCAGAGCTCCGAGAAGGTCAACATCTTGACCAAGATCAACCTGCTCTTCGTAGCCATCTTCACGGGCGAGTGCATCATCAAGATGGCTGCCCTGCGGCACTACTACTTCACCAACAGCTGGAACATCTTCGACTTCGTGGTGGTCATCCTCTCCATCGTGGGTGGGTATACCAGTCGTCTGGACGAGATGCCCTCCCCAGGCCGGGTGTCTTCTCCAGCCCGGCGTTGCTACTTAACGCCAAGCACACAGTCTCCTTCATGCTTTTCTCCGCACTCCTCACTTCTCCATCCCACACCACACACCCCCTTCAGCTCTTGACCCTGCCCCCTCTGCCTCGGAGCGACTGACGTCCACATTTCCGCGTGTACAGCCCCTGGCTTTGGTGAACTCGGAGGGAGATGCAGGGCCTAAGGCAGGGCTGCTGCAGCTGCGGTGACAGGCAGATGGTTGGAAGTGGGGGCAGCAGCAGGACACGCTCAGTGAGGTCCCGGGCAGGGGCGAGGGCTGGGGTGCGCCCCCTGGGACTAGAGGATGCGGGGTATCGGCAGCAGGAACGGGGCTGTTGACAGGCGGTCTCCAAGGCCTCGGGAGGTGCAGCGTGTGCCGCAGGACACCTCCTGTTCCCAGTGCTCGGCCACACCAGAGCACGGTTAATGGCTCTACTTGGAGCCAGAGTGTCTGCGTCAAATTCCAGCTTCTCACTGACTAGAGGGCCGCTTGGGTCAGTTACCTCACCTCTCAATTTCCTCTTCTGGAAAATGAGGATGATGGGATCAGCTTACTTCCTAGGGTGACTAGGAGAGCTTAATGGATGACACAAAGTGCTCAGCTCAGTGTTGATTGACAGTAAACACTGGACACATGGCAGCCGGCGGCATTATTATGTGAGGAGTCTGGAAAGATCACTTGGGCCAACATGAGTCAAGTTAATTTCACTCTCTCTGCTGTACAATGTATCCCTGCTCCTTAGAAATCCCAGAGCAGTCAATAGAGACCAAAGGGTAAGTCAGCCCTGGAAGCTAACAGAGGAGAGGGTGACAGGAGCCATCTCGCGACGGCTGAGGTGCGCCTGTGGGGCCGGGGGCGTGGCAAGGCGGGCGTGGCGTGGAGAGTGCACTGACTGCACGTGAACCTCCGACCACCTGGGCTTGTGCAAATGCGAGCTGAGGTTCTACACTTCTGATAGGTGCCCAGGAGATCCCAGGGCAGCTGGTCCTCACACCGCACTTTGAGTAGCAAGGAGGCAAAGCCCTGAGTTCTGGTCTAAGACGGCCGCCAAAGTCCCCTCAGGCCTCAGACCCCAGGATCTGGAAGATGGGCCAGGTTCACCCCTGTTGTGCAGTGTTCTCAAAAGACCAACGAACAGAAGGCACTTTGCAAAAGATGTGGGTCCTCATTTTCTGAATCACAAGCAGAAATGGAGCTTCAGAGAGGCGGGGGGAGCAGGACCTTACAGTTAACCGGTCCTCCTGGAAGGGCCTCCTCTTCCTGGCTCCGTACGGTACAGAGACCCCACCCAGCAGCGCTGGGCTGGAGGGGCGGGGATGCCATGGGTCGCCACAGTCTCTGTTGTTTCCCACAGGCACTGTGCTCTCGGACATCATCCAGAAGTATTTCTTCTCCCCGACGCTCTTCCGAGTCATCCGCCTGGCCCGCATCGGCCGCATCCTCAGGCTGATCCGCGGGGCCAAGGGGATCCGCACGCTGCTCTTTGCCCTCATGATGTCCCTGCCTGCCCTCTTCAACATCGGGCTGCTGCTCTTCCTCGTCATGTTCATCTACTCCATCTTCGGCATGGCCAACTTCGCTTACGTCAAGTGGGAAGCTGGCATCGACGACATGTTCAACTTCCAGACCTTCGCCAACAGCATGCTGTGCCTCTTCCAGATCACCACGTCGGCTGGCTGGGATGGTCTCCTCAGCCCCATCCTCAACACGGGGCCCCCCTACTGCGACCCCGATCTGCTCAACAGCAATGGCTCCCGGGGAAACTGTGGGAGCCCAGCCGTGGGCATCCTCTTCTTCACCACCTACATCATCATCTCCTTCCTCATCGTGGTCAACATGTACATCGCCATCATCCTGGAGAACTTCAGCGTGGCCACGGAGGAGAGCACCGAGCCCCTGAGCGAGGACGACTTCGACATGTTCTACGAGATCTGGGAGAAGTTCGACCCGGAGGCCACCCAGTTCATCGAGTACTCGGCCCTGTCGGACTTCGCCGACGCCCTGTCTGAGCCTCTCCGCATCGCCAAGCCCAACCAGATAAACCTCATCAACATGGACCTGCCCATGGTGAGCGGGGACCGCATCCACTGCATGGACATCCTCTTTGCCTTCACCAAGAGGGTCCTAGGGGAGTCTGGGGAGATGGACGCCCTGAAGATCCAGATGGAGGAGAAGTTCATGGCGGCCAACCCATCCAAGATCTCCTACGAGCCCATCACCACCACACTCCGGCGTAAGCACGAGGAGGTGTCGGCCACCGTCATCCAGCGGGCCTTCCGGAGGCACCTGCTGCAGCGCTCCCTGAAGCACGCCTCCTTCCTCTTCCGCCAGCAGGGCGGCGGCCTGTCCGAGGAGGACGCGCCTGAGCGGGAGGGCCTCATCGCCTGCAAGATGAATGCGAACTTCTCCCGGAGCCTGGGCCCACTCTCCAGCTCCTCCGTCTCCTCCACGTCCTTCCCACCTTCCTATGACAGTGTCACCCGGGCCACCAGCGATAACGCCCAGGCGCGGGTGTCCGACTACAGCCACAGCGAAGGTCCTGCGACCCCCGACGGGGGCCGGGAGTCTATCGTGTGAGCCTCGCCCACTGGCCAGGACACGGAGAGGCAGCCGTTGCCTTGAGGCAAACCCAAGCCAGCGTCTGCTGGGCCTCCCTCGCTCTGAGCTTCAGGAGAGAGAGGAGGCTCAGCCCCGTGGGTCAGCAAGGCCGAGTTCCAGGGCACCCGTGTTGAGGGTCCGGAGCCACTGGCCCAGCCGGCCGCTCAGGACGCCTGTCCCTCCCGGGAGGCCCCACCACCCCAGTGGCCTGGCCCGGGGCTCTGGCGAGCAGCTGCTGAGATGGAATAGGAAACTGAGACTGTATGTGTTGTGAATGGGCTTTCATACATTTATTATATTTGATATTTTTTTACTTGCGCAAAGAACTAACGTTTTTCCCGTGGATGTTGGCAGCACCTCACACTTGCCTCTTCTGAACGCTGAACAAGGGTGTGCACGTGGCTGCTGGAAGTGCATTCTCAAAGCAGAAGCGGAATCGGTGGCTGCCCCGGGCCTGCACTGCGGGAGCAGGGCGGCTGCCCCGGCCTGCACTGCGGGATCAGGGCGGCTGCCCCCGGCCTGCACTGCGGGATCAGGGCGACTTCCCCCGGCCTGCACTGCGGGATCAGGGCGACTTCCCCCGGCCTGCACTGCGGGATCAGGGCGACTTCCCCGGCCTGCACTGCGGGAGCAGGGCGGCTGCCCCGGCCTGCACTGCGGGATCAGGGCGACTTCCCCGGCCTGCACTGCGGGAGCAGGGCGACTTCCCCGGCCTGCACTGCGGGATCAGGGCGGCTGCCCCCGGCCTGCACTGCGGGATCAGGGCGACTTCCCCGGGCCTGCACTGCGGGAGCAGGGCGGCTGCCCCGGGCCTGCACTGCGGGAGCAGGGCGGCTGCCCCCGGCCTGCACTGCGGGATCAGGGCGACTTCCCCGGCCTGCACTGCGGGAGCAGGGCGGCTGCCCCCGGCCTGCACTGCGGGAGCAGGGCGGCTGCCCCGGGCCTGCACTGCGGGATCAGGGCGACTTCCCCGGCCTGCACTGCGGGAGCAGGGCGACTTCCCCGGGCCTGCACTGCGGGATCAGGGCGGCTGCCCCGGGCCTGCACTGCGGGAGCAGGGCGGCTGCCCCCGGCCTGCACTGCGGGATCAGGGCGACTTCCCCGGCCTGCACTGCGGGAGCAGGGCGGCTGCCCCGGGCCTGCACTGCGGGAGCAGGGCGGCTGCCCCGGGCCTGCACTGCGGGATCAGGGCGACTTCCCCGGCCTGCACTGCGGGAGCAGGGCGGCTGCCCCGGGCCTGCACTGCGGGAGCAGGGCGGCTGCCCCGGGCCTGCACTGCGGGATCAGGGCGACTTCCCCCGGCCTGCACTGCGGGATCAGGGCGACTTCCCCGGCCTGCACTGCGGGAGCAGGGCGGCTGCCCCGGGCCTGCACTGCGGGATCAGGGCGACTTCCCCGGCCTGCACTGCGGGATCAGGGCGACTTCCCCGGCCTGCACTGCGGGAGCAGGGCGGCTGCCCCCGGCCTGCACTGCGGGAGCAGGGCGGCTGCCCCGGGCCTGCACTGCGGGAGCAGGGCGGCTGCCCCCGGCCTGCACTGCGGGAGCAGGGCGGCTGCCCCCGGCCTGCACTGCCGGAGCAGGGCGGCTGCCCCGGGCCTGCACTGCGGGAGCAGGGCGACTTCCCCGGCCTGCACTGCGGGAGCAGGGCGGCTGCCCCCGGCCTGCACTGCGGGAGCAGGGCGGCTGCCCCCGGCCTGCACTGCGGGAGCAGGGTGACTTCCCCGGCCTGCACTGCGGGAGCAGGGCGGCTGTCCCCGGCCTGCACTGCGGGATCAGGGCGGCTGCCCCGGGCCTGCACTGCCCGGGGTGGAAAGAGGGTCCCCAGCCGCTTGGGCTGAGGGGCCAGGAGGGCTGACCCCTCTTCTCGCACACACAGGCCAGAGGCCAGCTGCCCGCAGGTGGGTGCAGGTAGCCGCGGCTGCCCCAGCCTGAAGGAGACCCCTTTCCTCCCAGCCCCGCAGGTGGGGTCTCGCCAGCAGGGCTCACTCTGGCCTCCCACCGCCCCAGGGTCCTGTTTCCCCCTGTGTCCTCAGGCAGGCCCTCCGAGGCTCAGTTCCACGGGAAGGAAAGGCTCCCAGAAGCGGATCTGGGTCTCGGGCTGGTCCCAGGCACTGCCGTTGCCTCCTCTGCCAGGCGGCTTGGCCTTCTGTAAGCCTGTGGCGTGAGACCGAGGGGCCGAGGGGCAGCCGCTCGCACCCTGGCACCCAGCGTCTCTGGAACCTGGCAGACCCTGCCCCGCAGGCCAGGAAGAGGCCGAGCACCGCGGGGTGGGGGCTAAGAAGTCGGACCGTCCTCAGCCCACCTGAAGAAGGGAACCTGCTATCTTTGCCAGGGTTCTCCAGACCTTTCTGCCTCTGAACGTGGGGGCGAGGGGATTTCTGTGTGGCCCTCGCGCCTCTCCAGATGCAGCCACATGGGAGCAGGGAGGGGAGCTTGGGTCCTGTGCAGGGAAGGGGCCTCGGGGTGGTCACGCTGGTCCTGTGCCCTGGGGGAATGGACCGTGGACTCCTGGGAAGGAGTAGTGTGGCCTTGGACCAGCCCCTCTGGCTCAGCTTGGGGTCCTGGTGGCACCCACACGCAGGACCGACTGGCGGGGGGGTCCAGGCTGTCCCACAGGTCTTGTGAGAAGGTTTTTTTTCCAGGGAAAAAGACTTTTTCCAGTCTAATTACCCCGGGGGCCTCCTCAGCTGCTGACAATCCTGTTTAACATATGCAAATCTTTTGATGTGGAGAACTGTCACCCTGAGTGACAGTGTTGGCTGGCGGAGCCTGCAGGAGCTCGGCTGCCCAGTTCCAGCTCAGCAAGGCCGCCCTCCAGCAGGCCCCCAACCTCACAGGCCCCTCCCGGGGCAGCCGGGACGGGAACTGGCTGCTCCCAACCTACCTCTCCGAGCCGTCAGAGGGCTGGACGTTCTGAGCTCGTGGCAGGGCCAGTGAGTCAAGTATTACAGTTTTTGTCACCCCGGGTTCCCGGGTGGCAGTCCCAGCCCCACCCCACCCCCAGCGATTCCTCTGCTTCCGTGTTCCCTGTGAGCCCAGCGGGGGACATGATTTTAACTGTCCCAGTGACACTGCTCCGAGTGGAAATCTTATTTTTGTAGATCTCTGTGCTTTGCTCTCCGGGCTTGGCGAAGCGTGTACCCTCCCTGCGTGGGCAGGAATGCGGCTTCGGAGGCGGTGGGGCTGCCAGCCCAGCTGGCCGGAAGGGACTGGTTTTGTGTGGACAGCCCCCAGAGCCTTGAGACAGGTGCCCGGGCTGGCCGCTGACCACACCAGTGGCTGTGGACGGTGTGGTCGAGGGCAGGGGTAGGCTAGACCTGACGCCTCAGCTTTTAGTGTGGCTCATTTTTTTTCTAGAACTGCACAATGACCAGCAGGAGGGGACAGAAGGAGGGAGGGGCCAATGTCCAGGGCCAGCTGCTGTCTGAACTAACTGAGCACTTCTCACCACACCGCGTGTGTAAATAAGATACATATTTTTAAAACAAACCAATAAACGGCTTCCTGACCTGGCCTGGGCTCTGTTCGTGTGCTGAGACTGCCGAGGCCCGGGGAGCCTGTGGGGAGCCCCGCTCTGCCACCTGGACAGCGGGGGCGTTGGGAGGGCGGGGTGAGGGCCTGAGGACCACGCGGGACTGGCACCCTCTTCCCAGGGAAATGGCCGGGAAAGTGCGGCCTGGGCAAGCCGTCTGCACCCGCGAGAGCACACCGGCCGGGCCTTCCAGACTCTGGTCCGGGGCACGGCAGAGGGGGTGACTGCGATCTGGGGCTCACACCATGGGAAGGGTTGGGAAAGGGGGCTGTGGGAAGGGGCAGCTGTCATGGAGAACAGCCAGGTGGTGGCACCTGTGTCCCAAGCTGGGGCCTGTGACACCTGACCCCCTGCTGCTGGCTTCCGGGCCCTCCCCTCCCCCCAGCCCTCAGCCCCTTGCCTCGCTGTTGCCTGGGCCCCACCAGAAGCCTCCTGCGGCCGAGCCGTCTCGTGGTCCCGTCCACCCACAGTTAACTCCGTGGACAGCCGGCTTCTGGAAGCCTCTCTTCCTCTCCAGGGTTCCTGGGGCTCTCGGACTGCCTCTGTGGGGCACACTGTCCAGTGTCTGAGTGACGGAGCTTTCACAGGCCCCGGGCAGGGAAGAGAGCGGGAAACAGGCTCCCGCCCCGGCCATGCTTTAGAGGAGAGTCCTGAATCCATCCGGAGCCCATCGGCTGCCCTCAAGCGACACCTCCAACTCCTCCAACACTGAGCTCATCCGTATCGCCCCCAAGCCTGCCGGTGAAGGTCCCCCACAGTGCCAGCTTCCCTCGCCTGCTGGCTCGGTCCATGCCCGTTGGCACTACCTTCTCGGCGTCTTCAAACCCCTCACTGGCAGCCTGCTGCTGCTCCCTGGCCGAGGCCTTGCCTCGTGGCTTCCCTTCCTCCAACCTCAGCCATCCCAAACGACTCAGCTACCAGAATGTTTCCATCCAAGGTCCTTGCCTCCTGGATGAAGCCCTGTTGCCTCGGGATCAAGGCACACCCCTCCCAGGGCCCCCAGCCCAGCACCTTGTACCCACATCTCTCTAACCCCTCGGAGGGCCAGGCTCTCCCCCTCAGCCTCCCAGAACACTTCTCCTTCCCGCCCAGCCTGCAGGCCTCATCCTACTGCCCCCCTCCGGGGCCCTCCCTGACCACCCCCCATCGATCGCCCCACCCTTGGACTTCCCTCCTCACAGTGCGTGTCACTTCCCGCTGCAAACACCTGCAAAGCCCATGTGTAAGCAAACATGACCCCTGGTGTCATCGAACCCAACCTTTATTTTTGTCTTTCCCTGTGCCTCTTGGCTTTACTCAGAGCAGATAATCTCCGCTGGCCCTGGATGAGAACCCGGCTGATCCGGTGGCTGTTTGGCTCAGTCTTGGGTAAAAAGGACACTCGCGCTACCTTGTAAATAGACCCAGCCCCCTTGCCCTTGGGCATCCAGCCTCTGACCAGGGGGGCTAGGGTGGCCAGGCAGCAACTCCTCCCAGGCCACATGGGCCAGAGGAGACTCTCATACAGGCACCTGTGGGCTTTGGGGAGACTCCCTTCTGGGCATCCCCCCTACAGATCCTTCAGCCCAGGAGATGCACTCTTTTCCGGGTACCCCTGGGACCTCTTCCTTTGCCTCTGGGCACCCCAGTCTCTTCCTGCCGAGGCCCTCAGTCCTGCAAGTGGCCCGGTTGTGGCACACGCCAGCCCTCGGCCTGCCAGATCGGGTCCACGGAAGTACCCAGAGCACTTGTCCCCGTCCCCAGCAGAGCGTCTGCCCCGAGACCCTCTCTCCAGTCCCAGAGCCGGAGCCAGGACCCCGTCCCCTGTCCACCCGAGCTGTTTTAGGCCGAGTGAGGCCCAGTCCTCCAGCTCGCCCGCGTGCCAAAGCTCTCCTGGGAGGCCCTGGGAGCCCCCGGGAGCCCCCT